TATGTTGTGTTACGTTATGTTGCGTTGTGTTACGTTAAATAGCCCGACGCCGTTATTGCACCGAGAGCCCATCGAACATACCTCTCCTCCCCCTCCTCTCTCTCTCTCTCTCTCTCGTCGTCGTCGTCGTCGTCGTTTCTCGCATAATTCTCGCCGGTGAATTTTCATTTAGCGCCGCGCGGTAATGTTTCAGCCATTTACGACTTCCCAGCGCCGAAGTTATGTATACGGCGTGCGCGATTTACGACGCGACGGGGCGAAATTACCGCGAAGCCACCGAAGGGCTCGGAGATGACAAAAGTGAAAACCAAAAAGAGACAGCAAAGAGAGAAGGTGCGACGAGTTACGATACGCCGGGATTTCGCGCGTGTAATTTCTTCGATCGCCCCGACCGGTCGCGTATGGGGCGTTGAAAAATTGTTCTCTCTTTCTCTCTCTCTCTCTCTCTCTCTCTCTCTCTCTCTCTCTCTCTCTCTCTCTCTCTCTCTCTCTCTCTCTCCCGCGTCCAGATTTACCGGCGGTCCAGCGAGCGATGTACATTCGATAATCGCGCGTATAAATGGCCGATAGATGAATCCGTCTATTAATAACGGGGAGAGCATTTATAAGCGGCCGACGATCAATGATGGCGTCCACAATGACTTATTTTTGCGTCACGCTGCGCCGAGCCTTCCGGACCAACGGAGGTGATGAAGAAATTCTTTCAGGAAGCGGGATAAAAATGGCGCGATGGTCACAACGAGCGAGCGAGCGAGCGAGAGAGAGAGAGAGAGAGAGAGAGAGAGAGAGAGAGAGAGAGAGAGAGAGAGAGAGAGGGGCGCGTCTCTCCGCCGGCAGTTTGCAAATTCGGACACGCGCGAAGCGGGTCAGAATGCGATTTCCTGTTGTGATAAATCTTTGCTCGTCGTTAGTCGCGGGACAATGGTAGGAAAATGCAGCAGTATCACCTAATCAATCTTATCTCAAAGCAGAGATTAAAACTTGAGGGGTTGAAGAAGGCTTTTCAGCTTTTTCATTATTGCTCCATTCGTTAATTTTTCTCGGCAATCGACTGCATCATCCTGTCCGTGTAAACATGTCCTTTTAGCACAATAGTGTTGTCCTACCTGGAGAAATGGAGGGAAAACGTACCTTTTCCCTCCACTTCTACGTGACAATATTTTTTGACGTAAACGACTCTGCCGACCGGTAAGACAGCTCGCGATGGCCGAGCGAGAGATGAATTTCTCGATATTCTCGAGAAGCGCACATAACGATCTCGCGTATATTTCATCATCCCCGGGACACCGCCGCCGGCGGGGGATCGAATCCAATTTCCCGTGACGGCTAGCGTGACTGTCGCGCGTGTATTGAGAATTTACCGTCGTGCGAGCGCTCGGGCGGATCGGAACTGTCCAAGTTGCGTTTATAGCGTTACGTGCGCCACGTGTAAATCCGTCATTCACGAGCGAGGCGCTCGTGCGTCGTTAATGTATTCTTTCGACGGCGAAAAATCGAGCGAGTCGTCGACGTCGTCGTCGTCGTCGTCGTTGGTGGTGGCGCTTCTGTCGCGCTCGTCAAACTCGCGAGATATGCGGTAAATTGAAAAGAGGCACGTCCGCACGCGTTTAGCGTCCCTCGCGGGATAATTTCCCACTCTTTTTCTCTCTCTCTCTCTCTCTCTCTCTCTCTCTCTCTCTCTCTCTCTCATTGTGTCGCGCGAAAAACGCAGGAAGCACCGCTTCAGCGCGCACTGCGCTCTCGCACTCGATGCACGAGCGAATGCAAATGCAATTAATGGCGAACGAAAGAGCGCGCGATGGATTTCGCCAATAAAAATACTCCGTGTCGAATGTTTTACCCGCCGCGCGTCGCCCGGCTGGATTCCTCTCGGAGAGGGCGAGAGGCGAGGCTCGCGCCGATGACGATGCTTTTTCTACTGATTTTTTTACACAGCTCGAGGAGAGACCGCACGTGTCTTAAATTATTAAAGTTCCTCCGCCCGTCTCGAGGCGTGCATTGTTATGCATCGCTACGCCATCGGCTATCGGATTATTACCTTTTTTTAGCAATTTATCAAAAAATGGGCAACGCTACGCTCGGGGATGCAATTCGAGGGATTCGGAATCGATTGTAACTTAAGGCCGTGTATCGCGAGTCCGGTTAGAGGGATTTTTTTCCCGAAAAAGGGGAAACGAGAAAATGGCGAAATTGTGCGCACGAGAAAAGACCTCCCGGGCGAATGTCGATTTATGTAAGGAGGATTTATATTCATTCAGCGAATCAAAGATCGCAACGAGCTCGCCTACGGTGGACGCCATAATTGGGGAGAATTAATTTCTGCCGGAACGTTTCCTCCTCGCCGTCGACAAAATTCCCCAATATCGACGCGGCGCTTCCGCGTTTGCCCGCGACGTACGGGGAAAAATGGTCGATCCTCAAAAGTTCTTTTCATCATCACAGCTCGCTCTTTCGGGAGCCGAGGAGCAGGAGATTCGACGTAATACCCGTGACTTTAACCTTGTCGCGGACAAAAGGCGAGGCGTCTCAGTCCCCAGCTGCGACTGCTCCGATTGTGCCTCGCTCGAGCGTCAGATGTGGGAATCGCATTGCAATTTCGCTCCGCTAAAGTACGATTTAATGGTCTTGATAATCAAACAGCAAATACTGCTCGTTCGTTTAATTCGCAAGCGTCATTAGGGACCTTCCAGGGCGCATCCGAAGATCCCTCTTTCCTGCAGTCGGCGAGTCTGAGACTCTCGGAGAGTTAGTCAGGTAGACACGAAAGAGGTTCGACGAGAGCCGAGGAGGTAGCCCGCTGACAGACGCATCGATTCAGCCGCTTAATATTTCCTCGCGGCTCTCGGAGCTTCGAAATTGCCGACACCCCCGCGTCGACTCGATACCCTCCCTCGGAGTGAAGATCACCCGGGGACCGAGCGAAGAGCGAAAACTCGTCGCTCGAATCTCCGAGCTCTTCCGGGAGAAAAAGTAGCGTCTATTCTCCTCCTTCAACGACTCGCGAGTATTCGTGAGTCTTCCCCCCTATCTCTCTCTCTCTCTTTCTCTCTCTCTCTCGACGTTTTCTTCGTCGCTCGTTCCGCGTACGTCGGACGCTTTTATCGTCTCATATTCGCGAGACGTTTCGACCGCTTGCTCAAGAGAATGAACGAGTGAGCGAGCCAGCCACTCGATTACGTCGCCGTTCACGTGGCACGTGCTCTCGATGAGACGTGGAGAGCGATAGAGCAAGAGAGAGAGAGAGAGAGAGAGAGAGAATGCACCGAAGACACGTCGCGACGCTCTGCTTGGAAAAGCGTCGCGTGTTCCGCGGTTGGCTGGCGTGAGTGTGTAACGTTATACACATGCACACACCAAACACACAGACACACACACACACACACACACACACACACACACACAGATACAGGCCGCGCACGTCGGGGTGGTTGCGAAGGGCGGCGAGGGACGGTGATGTATGTACATACACGCGGCCGTCATCGTTATTAGTTATTAACCAGCGACCGAGCGGCCGCTTTTCTTTTTTTTCCACGAGGGTGTGCTCACGCAGCACGTCACGGGGATCGATTCTCGGCCACGAGGTCGAGGGCTGAAAAGTATTACGAGGGGGGTAGGAGAGCGCGCGCGGGCGAGAGGAACGGTCGGACACGATCGGATAGCGGGCAGCCGGCGAGCAGGCGGGCGGGAGGGAGGGAGGGAGGTAAAGTGAATCGTGTGTGTGCTGGAACCGCCTGCTTCTTCGGACACTTGGAGGCCGTGTGCCGAGGAACCGCCCTTAACCCTATCAAACTTTTAGCGGACCGCGGCGTCAGCGTTTCCCCGAAGACCGAGCGGTCGACCGGCCCGACCGATCGAGATCGATGGAGAGAGAGAGAGAGAGAGAGAGAGAGAAAGACGACGAGGGCAATAGAGTTCGCGGTCTCTCCCCGAACTCTCGCCGAACCCCGAGAGAAAGAAGGAGAAAGAGAGAGAGAGAGAGAGAGAGAGAGAGAGAGAGAGAGAGAGAGAGAGAGAGAGAGAGAGAGAGAGAGGCTCGGGGAACCGAGAGTGACTCGCGCGCGAACTTGGCTTCTCTCCTTACCCAACCCCCTCGCGACGCTGTTCAAACACACTCGCATTGATCCCTGCCCCCGGCTTTAACTAATTCGCGGTAGCCCGAGAGCTGGTATTACGTTCCCGCTGAACGAGGCAGGCTGATGATCGCGAGAGGTTATTAGTGGCGTCAGAGCTGACGCAATGTTTTTCAAGGTAGCAGGCGCGACAACCTCGAATCTCGGCATCGGGGGCTCTCGCAGAAGTCACAGCGCCGGTCACACAGTCTCGGCTAACCATGACGTCACGGTGTTCCTCGACAGAGTCGTAGTCGCTTCGCGACACCTTGAGAATGCTTGGCTTTTGCCCTCGGATTATTTCGCGCGGCGTCGCTCATTTTCTCTCTCTCTCTCTCTCTCTCTCTCTCTCTCTCTCTCTCTCTCTCTCTCTCTCTCTCTTCAACGTCGCAGGATTCTCTCAGCGAGCGCCTCGGGACCCACGGGCTTGACGTATGCTGACGGCGCGCGCGCGTCGACGTCGATCGCGAGATGATCCGGGCACAATCGGCGGAAAACATCGCGTCGCAAACCCCGTGAGCTACCCTGAGCGACCGGGATCGCGCTTCGGTTCCTTTGATTTGCAAGTCCGATTTCAGCTTCCGCAGCCGGGTTATCGGCGGCGATGTTTCTCGAGGTAACACCTGGTGGCAGGCCTTAATTACCGCTACGCCGTTGGCTCCGCTGTACTTCGAGAATCGGAGTGCCAACGAGCGGCTCTTAAGCGCGCGAGAGGCTCGGCGGAAATTAATTAAAACTTTTCATTTCGTAACGACGGCGGAAACCGAGCCTGCGAAGCCGAGCCTCATCGGTCCCTCCTTTCTCTCTCTCACACACACGCACACACACACACACTCTCTCTCTCTCTCTCTCTCTCTCTCTCTACTCTCCCCCGAGCTACTGCGCAAATACCTTGCTGAGCGCGGTGTCACGTCAACCTCGCAGCCCCGTGTGAATCGAGCGAGATCGCCTGGTGAATCTCCTCAGGATCGACCGATCCGGCCGGACGCGACTCCTCGGCGACATTGTTTTTCAAGGCAACAACAGCTGCCGCCCGCACGCGCGCGACCTCACCTCCGCCGCGGCCGACCGAGCGCGAAGCCAATTATACACCGCGGCGACTCGCGTATCCGCGGACCCGCGGACAGAATCGAGATCGCCCGTGAAATCTTGCCCCCTCCCTCCCTCCTCTTCCTCCTCGTCCTCCCCCGGCGCGGAGAATCGACGTCGCGGCTTTGCAACGCTAGAAAGACATCTTGCGGGGCGGGAGGGCCATCTCTCGAGCGGGGCGGTCCGGTCGGTCTCAACGTGACATCTCCTCGCGGTATCGCGAAGGTGTCACCGGAGTGTCACGAAGCGAGCAGCTCCGCGACCGTTCGAGCGCTCTCAAAGATGGCCAATCGTGCGTCGCGCCTCTCTCGCGGCACATGGAAACCCGGGGGAGGAGGTGGAGACGGTGGAGACAATGGGACATGAGGTGGACAATGATGATAGAGATGATGAGAAAGCGAGACGGAGACAGAGACAGAGACAGAGAAACAGAGACAGAGAAGCAGAAGGTAGGCGGTGATCGAAGGGACTCACGTCTCTCATCTCGCGGCCGCGGCGACGTGCTCACGTGCGAGCGTCGTCGTGGCTCGTTCCAGTTCGAGGCCCGTGTCGCGCAGGGAGACGGACGCACCACCACCACCACCACTACTACCACCACCACCACCACCACCACAACTACCACCACCACCACCACCGCCACCACCACCACTAGCGACGACGACGACGACGGCGACGGCGACGGTTACGAGGACGACGGCGACGGCTACGTCGGTGCGACGCGCAATGCACTGCTCGCTGCGGTCGCGCGCGTCAGTCGATGCGCCAGGCGCATCGCCCCAGCTTGGCACGAAGCTCACGACTGGCTCGCTGGCTCGCGAGGACTAGCCGGGGGTTGCTTTTTCCTCGAGTTGACCGGTTCGCTGGGGGTGGATCAGGCTAGCGGCGGACGTCGCGACGTCTGACGGCGTTCGAGGGAAGCCACCCCCGGAGAGCAGGCGCGGAGCGTCGGCGGCGGCCGATTGGAGGGTGGTGCACGGTGGCAAGGGGGGCCGAAGGGGTTGTTGCCGCGGCGGCGGAGCGTGGCATTGGTGCGCCCGCGACTGTCTTGCTCGTATTTTTCCAAGGGGGGCGTATTGCGATGCTCTCTCGCGTATTTCGCGGCTCTTGCGGTCTCGGCGACCCTGCGGCGTCGTCCTGTGACTGCGGGGGTGTTGATCTTATTTTCGCGCTCTGATATGTTTTTTTTTTTTTTACGATTCTTGACGACGGCGCAGCGTGTGCCGTCATGCACACGCGCGCTGGCGGGCTTCGGGTTGGAGCAGCGGCGGAATCATCCCCCGCCCGCGTCGTAGGGGTGAGTTTCTTTCACGATTCCGCTTTTCCCGATGCAAAAGCCGCCCCGACGTTCGCACGTCGAGCGTACCTGCGAAATTTTTCTCGTTCGCGCCGAGCGTATCGTCGACTTCGATACCGATATCGACGAGCGCGGCGGAAGTTACTTTCGAAAGCAACGACACTCCTCGCGCGAGCGCGAGCGTGACGTCGATTCCAGCTGACGTCACGAGCTTTGAAACGTACAATGCGACTAAGCGGATATTTGGCGCACACACACGCGCGCGCGCGCGCGCGCGACCGACACACTCCGGAATGCGTTCGCCGGCGGTGGCAGGAATTCCTTTTCGATATCAATTAAGCTCATACCTGAATACGCCTTGAAATTCCTCCGGCTCGCCACTCGTGACGTCGGCGCGGCCTTGAACCACTTCGGGCAAAAGCAATAATCGCTCGGCGCTCGCTCGGTGATCGTTCGACACGAGCTCGCTATCTGGGTGACTCTTTGGCGCGGCGGTGTAACGCCGGCGGGAGAGGGAGGGGCCGAGGGATGACGGAAGGAAGGATCGCGGCACTCTCTCGATAGCGTCTCCGGACAAAAATAGGTCGGCCCAATTGAAGCGCCGTTATCCGCTCCACCTGAGCAACACTCGAGCGCGTCGTAGGTCTTGCGACCAGCGGCCTGTCGCCATCCTTCCGTCTCACCTCCCTCCCCCCTCTCTCTCTCTCTCTCTCTCTCTGTCTGTCTGTCTCTCTCTCCGCCTCAAATCTTACGTAGGAGAGCGGCGATTGCACGTACGGCGTATTTTCCTCACTCGATGATCTCATCGAGTGACAATCGCGGCCGGCAAGCTCGACGAAAGTTTGACGCGATTTACAGCTCGTGTAATTACCGGCGTATTTTATTGAACGATCCGTCGGCTTTTTTTTTCTAACAGAATAACGCAGTGTGTTTGAAGCGCTCAGCGGGTGAGGCACTATTTTTTTTTTTTTTTTTTTTACCAAAACGGGACGCCTACGCGACAGTTATCTAACTGTACTCTCCGAATCCGTCTGGCCAGTCACGCGCTTGAATTACGCCGTCGTGTCCTCGAGAAGAACAGCATCTCGGCCCGCGAGATGAAAGTGTTAGCCTCGCTGCCACACACTCGATGAACCTTTTAGCCACTCACCCCTGTCTACCTGTAAGTTCGAGTACTCGCACCTAAACCGAGATCAACAGGTTTGCGTGCCGGATGTGCCGGCCGACACGCCGGAAGTCCATTCGTCAGCCACGTGAAATCGCCACCCCGATACCGATCGGTTCGACCTTTCGCCCGGCGGGAAAGCCTCGCGAAGGACTCGGAGGGGAGGGTCTTTTATAGCCCGGTCTTCTCGTTCTGTCTACATTTTTCGCCCGGCATCATTGTCATCAGATTACACTCACCGTCATCGACGCGCTATTCACGCCAAGTCGGCTTTTTAACCCTCTCTCGGCCGCGACCAAGAGCGATCTCGAAATACCCGCGAAAAGCGGTTCCACTCTCCACCGTTTTTAGACAGACACACACACACACACACACACACACTCCCAATCCTCCGTACGTGAATACGTATATATAGTTCCAGCCGAGCGAAGGAAGGTGGTCCAGAATAGACCAACGGAGAAGACAGCTACCGGAAGTTCCGCTCTCCTCGGTTCTCTGGCGGAGGAGTCGCACACCCCCCGAGATCGTAAAACGTTTGCGTGCGACGGAAAAGGGAGCGGGGTGGGAAAAGGGTTGAATAGGAGACGGTCGGGCCACCGATGTCTGCTTGCGTGTATGTATGTATGCACATACATGTGTGTGTGTGTGTGTGTGTGTGCGTGTCTTGTAGGGCGCGTTGGTGAGGAAAACACACACGGCTGTAAAAGTGTAGGCCATCTATTCTCTCACTTCTGTCGTGGTCGCGCTACACGTGCGGTAGTTCATTTCCGCGGTCCCTCCTTCCGCCTCCGAGACCGCGGGCGAACATTTACACGAGGACGTACAGCTACTTAGACAAACAGATACGAAGGGACAAGGGGAAGATAGAAAGGGGGGGGTCGACGGAAATAAGTACAAAATTGTATAAGACTAATATCCGGAAAAACGTTATTCGACTTGATAAGTGTCGTCGGAATGCTCGACCATATAATTTTGCTCGCTTTCTCTCTCTCTCGCTCGCTCGCTCGCTCGCTCGCTCGCTCTTTCCTCGGCCATGTCGACGCGAATTTTCGTAGAAACGTATGAAACATGTGTGCGAGAAGAGTACGGCCGGTGATGCAGTGGAGATTGTCGATTAACACGCCGGTTTGATTTGATTCGACGCGGCTCGAAGGTCCGCCGCGAACGGAAGAATCGGGCGAGTCTGCTCCTTTTGTGACGAATGAGTCATTCGTTATTTAGCGCTCGATAACGATGGAGTAGCACCGACCGGTGAAAACCGCAGACGGTGAGTTGCGGTGAGAAGGGAAAAGTATAAACGTAGGCGAATTATCGTACGCCTCTTAATCGCGATAAATGATCGGTCGGGTTCTCATCGGATAGAATCTCTGCGCGAATCGAGTATTGCTGTCAATTAATCGGCGGTGCAGCTTTGCGAACTTGCGCTCGTTAATCTCGGCTCGAGTAGCAAAAAATCAACAACCGAGTGGAAGGAAAATGAGAGGAGTCTCGGCTGTCCCCCCCCCCTCCCTCCCCTACTCGACATTTCTCTGAACCAAAATAACAAGAGAAACAATCAACAAACCGAGCGGAAGGAAAATAAGAGAAACGTCGCTTAATCGTCTCTCTACTTCTCACGTATCCGCACCGAAATAGAAAAAAAAGGATCCACCACTCTCAGCGGCAGATAATCGACGTTCAAAGGAGGAACCAAATGCTGTCAGACTCGCCCGATCGGCCGCGGCGGCCGACCCTCCGCCTTGAAAGGAGAAATGGAGATTCTTCTATCACAGAATTTGGTCTTTCGCTCTCTCGCGTCCGTCTGCTTGACGAGAGGAGAGACAGTAACAATAATAATTGACAGTTTCCTTTTTGCCGGGTTCGCCGACCAGGAGGCGGGCCCGTTTGCTGGTCGAGTCCGCCGCTACGCGCGCTACGCAGTTACAATTATTTACAAAAATCACAACGACCCGCTCGATGACGGGTCGCTTGCTCGCTCGCTCTTCTGTTCCTCTTTCTCTACTCTATAATCTCGTGACGCCCGCGAGACACACACGCGAGGTTACTCTGTCGCAGACGCTCGTATCCTCCATCGTCACTCTTAACGCTAACGAACGCGCGCTCGTCACGCCTATCATGAGCGCGAGACAAGATGGCCGAACACGCTCGCGAATCATCCTCACGGTCTGTCATCAAACGCGCCTACAGTTATTTTCCCGTAACATCATCGCGTCGGCCAAATATCACTCGTGACTCGCGCGGCCGTTGACTGAACGCTCCGACGCGCTCTCCTTCTCCGGCGACGAGCTGCGAAATAACAATAACTCCCTGATTGCGAGAACCGTTACAGTTATCTTCTGAGACGATCCTCTCATCTCGTCCGAGTAATCCGATAATTACAAACGCAATATTCGCCCGGTCGATCGACGCTGCTGCCGCCGCCGAATCGGTATCGCCCGGACGCTGAAATACAAGCCGAGGCGACGAGCGCCACTCCCGTGGCTCCCTGCTGTGTTTGCGTCACGATGCTGCCGATAAGAACCTCGCGCGTGACTCACGCTAGACGCGCCTAACTATAACGCTTAGAGCAGCTTCGCTCAATTGCGCAACCGTGCCGAGTCCGAGAATGTGTGTGTGTGTGTGTGTGTGTATGTGTGTGTGTGTTGGTTGCGTACGTCGTGCTTGGCCGCGTACGTCCGTATACGCACTTCCGGTCGTACGATTGTAAACGAGCTTAATCATAGACCCTCAGCTGGGTCGCACGACCACGCACTCGTCGTCGTCGTCGTCGTCGTCGTGGCGCACGTTGGAGAGAGCCGAGTTGTCATGGTGGCTTTAAACGATATAAACGTGAGATAGCCCGAGTCTCTCTCTCTCTCTCTCTCTCTTTCTCTCATTCTCTCGCTCGCTCTTGCCGCTTTGCTCTCTTCGTTTAACCGAGCTCAGCACCGGGCTCTGATCAAGCTTCGAGTGGCACTCGTGCCCGTTTCCACCAAGCTTCATCGAGTCTCTGTCCGAGGAGAGAGTCGAGCTTGAAGCTTCATCGACTGGTCGCTGGAAACGACCGATAGTCGCGTCGGACTCGCTAATGGCTTCCAGTCGTTCGCCAGATAAAGACGAGATACGCGCGCGGGCGATAACACCAGATATGTAGGTGTGATTATGAACATTGCTCAGTTGATCATCCGTCATCTCGGCAGTTTGACGTGTCACACTGTACGATATTTTGCGTCCGGCTACGAGGCGAGCGACTGGAAATCGTTATCGAGCTTCGACCTAGTAATGGGTACCTAGTAAAAGTACCAGCGCCGGGACGCGTGCACAACTCTGGACGCAGGATTGGATGATTCTGGTCTTGAAGTACGAATATTTCAAAACCAGGACAACAAGAACAGTCAGAGTGACTTGCGCGTCCAGGCGCTGGTGCTTCTGCCTCCAATGTCTCGAAGCTTGATCGGAGCTCGAGGTGTGCGCGCGATCGAGGTGATCATGAGACGGTAGACAACGCGATCATTGGCATTTCCTCGTAATCGTACATGTACGAGGGAGAGCCGTTGAATAAATAGTCTCCTTTGAATCATAACGAAATACGTTTCTGGGAATCTAACATGATGAGTAGTATAGCGACGTTAGAACACAACATTACACGATTCGTCTGTTCCGACACACAGCGGGACCTTCGTGCTACTGCCATGATTAATAATGAGTAATCAATCAGTACGATACTAGAATCTCACGAGGATGTCGAGACGCTGCGCGGTTCACCACCTAGGTGAGTCGTCGTCTCTCCTTGAAAGGACGACGAATAATCGATCGACGATTGGCGATGAATTAACAAATTAACTACTGACGTCTGTTTAAAATACTATATCGCATAGTATCGTGACTTAATATCGAGTTCGTCTCAGCGAAGTGTTCGTATCACCCACGCATCGCGTCCGCGTCGCGATCACCCCGATCGACCACGGTCTCTCTTGTTTTTCTCTCTCTTTTTCTCTCTTACATCGGACACCAATCGCGGCACTGTCGTTAACATCAACAAAATTCGCATCATAGTCCACGACTGTCCGGAATTAGCGCCGCCACGGTGTCCGCTTCTTCAGGGCGTCAGGCGGCTTCCTCGGAACTATCGTTTGTGGCTGCCTTTGCTTCTCGGGCTGTCGGAGGCCGCGTCGTTGGGCTCCCGCCTCGGTCGCAGTATGAAGTTGAGGTTGTGCGCGGTATTTACAGCGTAATACACGTTGGCCGAGTTGGGCAGCACCATCTCCCGGTCGGGTAACACCTGCGCCAAGGTGTATTGGTCCGGATTGCCCTCGAGGCCGAGTTTCAGCATCGCGTTGCGTATCACCTGCGGCGTGCGCTCGTTGTTGGACAGCATTATCGACTTGTACAGCACCACGCCGTCCGTCTCGACGTTGTCGCTCTCCATGGTAACCTTGATGATGTAGAAGTCCGGCGAGCTCTTGTGCGAGTGGCTGGGACTCGACAGGCCGGCGAGGTTGGGTGTACTGCCGTTGGCCGCGATGGTGCCTGCTGATGGCGGAGCCAGTCGGGTCTGATGGTTACCGCTGCTGTTGCCGCCGCCGCCGCCGCCGCCGCCGCCGCCGCCGCCACCACCGGAGCTTAAGGACACGTCCAAGGAGGGTAAGGACGAGCTCGAAGACGAGCTGGACATCTGCGAGGGCGAGGTGCGTCGGTCCAATGAGTTGTGCGGCGAGCTTGGCAAAGAGTCCAGATCGCAGTAGAATTGTGAGCTGCTGGAGCTAGACGTTGAGGCGATCGAGTCGTTCTTACGGTGACCTTGATGACCCTGTGAGATGCGAATCGCGGTTCAGTCGCGGTGGTGAAACGGTTTCAAGGAGATATACGGGCCGCGGTGGTCCGTTTAATAATTTTCCGGTGAAATATGAACGATTCAGGAATCTCGATCCAAGTTGAATCTTGATCATTTTGATTGCATTCTGATAACCGAGATTTCTGAATCATTCAACCAAATTCATTCAACCAAACATTGTTCTCCGTGAGAGGAACCTTCTCTTAAAGGCCACACAGGTCTGTACTTTTTACTTATATTAAAACAGACTTGGTTTGTTAATTAAATAGGGAAAAAAATAATCGCTGTCGCACATAATCGTGTAATGCTGATTAGGAACGTGTTAACGTTTCTCGAGCAGAGGTTAGGTTGCGTGTTAGGTTTCAGGTGGACTTGGACGACGTAGACCTCCTGTTTCCCCCTCTCCTCTGGATGGAGCTAAAAAAAGACGGTCTTTGAAAGTGTAGATTGCTAAGGGATGCTGACCTGCTTCTTCTTCCCGCGGTTGTTGAGAGTATTGCCCGCTGGTGGTGGTTCGATTTGGCAGCTGAGTTTGTAAGCTTCCCGATCGTCCAGCACCAGCACGGAATGGAACCAGCGGTCGAACACGGGATCTGTGCTGAAGTTGTACGCGTTCGCCGCACCCTGAAGAAGCCGTATCCTCGCGAGGACCTCAAACTCCTTACGTCTCTTGTCGAAGTTGATGAGACCATCGGCTATCGTGTCCGGTATCGCCGTGTCGATCATCGTCAGGTCAGTTAGGAACGTGCCTAGGTACGGTATCGTGCCGTAACTGATGTTCTGAAAGAGCAGTTAGCGACTGTCAGAATCACGAGATCGGCAAAAATCGCCTTTAGCTTCGTTCGCAGGGACAAAGAAAATATCACTGAAGAATCCTATTTCTGATCTCAAAATATTTTATTCTAAACATTTCTTTCATAGCATAAAAGCTACTTCTTACGTTCTTACGTTCTTTTGAAAAAGATCTCGTCCCGAAGATAGATTGCGTAATCTAACAATGAAGCCTCTATTCTGTCTAGCTATGGCGCTAAACTTTGCGAGGAAACTTAACTTAAATTCATAATCAATTCCTAATTTTTTCCTTTTTTCACCGAGTCGAGTTTTGGCGAATTGATTTCAGGGATTGTCATCTCGGTCAGCAACTATCCATATTTCAAAGCTCCAAGACTCGATCTAACGCAGTTTCTCCCCCTCTCCTCTCAGGTATAAAATTAATCCTCGCGAAGGATCGCGGTCGCGCATGAGACCCGCGTCGTCACAAACTTACGCCCGCGTGAGTATTCTGCTTTTGAAAGAGCTTCTGTAGATGGCGGTCGCTCCTGCCGGCGGTGTCGGCGAACTTGGCGGTGCCCTCTTTGATGAGGAGCTCGCGCTGGGTCCAGGCGTTGTTCTCCTCCGAGAATATCCTCTCGAGCTCACGGAACAGCTCGTGCTTCTCCCGCGGCATGCATTGCCAGCACTTCTCCAGCCGGTAGACCGGGTTGCTCTGCAGGCCGGACACGATCGCCTTCAGGCTGCTGAAGTTCTTGAGTACACGCAGCTCCTGCGCGATGTCGATCCACGTCTCAAGGATCCGCGCGCGCTCCTGCGACTTGAGCGTCGTGTCCGTGAGGATCGTCGAGATGACGCGCAGCGAGACCGCGTTGAACTGGTTCACCGTCGCCAACACCGTCGCAGCGTCGTGGCTCCTCGAGCGGTCCTTCCTCGACCAGACGGCGCCGAGGCACTGATGAGCGACCAGCTTCTTGAACACTTCCGCGTCCATCCGCGTCAGCTGTTCGGCGAAGTGACGCTGCGGCACCTCGGGGAAGATGTAGCTCGCCCAATGATCCGACATCGGATCCGGGGAGCCGCGGACGGGTAGTCTACCATTGTCGTAGACCATGCAGGAGTCTGGAAGGCAAAACGGGGGGATTCGATTAGTCCGGTTCGCGTTTCTCGCGAGAGTGACTTTTGAGCCTTGAAGAGCGGGAGAACCGAGCAATCTGCGTTTCGTCTTGTCTGACGCGAGAAATGCCGTAGGCATTTTTCTACACTTGCTCGTTTTTTCCGACTTCTTTATTCTTCGTTCTTTTCCTCTTTCGTTCCTTCCGAGCCCTTCTTCTCTGCCCTTCGAGAAACATCCGAATGTCCAAACGTGTTCCTCTGGGAATTTAATATCCGCTCGAAACGTCACGTCGCCACAATAACAAGAAGACTGCTCGCAGCAGCAGCAGCAGCAGCAGCAGCAGCAAAGGCTCGAAACGCGAAGGCTCTCCTCAGGTCACATTTTCTGCCTACCATCCGTCGATGGTGAGACCGCCTCTATTTTTGGGATATCGCGACCGGATCGGGCACAGCGTGCTACCTACGGTCGAGAGCCCTGGTGAAAGGTGAGCCCTGGCCCGTTTATGCGCGGCGGTAAGGGACCCTCAGAATTTACACGAAAGGCAGACGCGCGCCTTTGTGCGACCGGGCTGCGCTTGGCCTTTCACCGCGGCTAATGTGGAGAGGTTCTTTCTGCGCCAAACTGCCGATAATTATCCTTCCGCAAGTACTTGCACCGTGGCTAACGCATCCTTATTCGGTTATTTCGGACAGGCAGCGGCCGGAACACGAGGAAGTTCGTAGGAAGTTCCTCGAGGGGGAATTATACACGCGCGATGATGCGATATTCGCATCGCTTCACCGTTCACCGGACGACACCTTTCCTCGTCCCTCCGTCTGGCGTCCGCTAGAAATCGGAGTGTACGAAGAACCGTGAGTGAGATTACCTATCTGATCCTCTCGCTGGAACCTGTGCAGCCGGTGCCTGGCCTTGAGCTCGAGCTCGGAGCCCAACAGGTGCCGGTGCGTGAAGTCCAAGAGCCTGGTGAGCAGGGGGTGGTTAGGCGGTGACTTCCAGTCACCTGGGTAGGCGTCCAGCCAGACGTGCAGCGCCTGGACGAGAGTCTTGCGGTGCTGCTCGCAGCCGGTGCTATCGTCCAAGGCGTCGTACCTGGCGAGCAGTAGCTCCAGCACCTCGCGCGGGCTCGTGAAGGCCCGGTACGTCGCCAGGAAGACGTTTATGTACGTCGACTCCAGCTCGCCGTCGTCGTTCGCCAGACTCTCGACCAGCCGCTGCACCGTGCCGGCTTTCAAGAACCGCACCCTCACCGTCTCCCATTCCAAATGCGAGATCTCGTCGTCGGAATCCTGCATTCAGAGGTTAGGGCCATTTAGACGGTGAGCTTTCCTAGTTCTGCTACAGTCGGCAAGAAGTGGGCAAGAAATATTGGCAAGCGCGGAGACTCGTTCGCTCGGAAAATTCCTTTCGCGTCTTTGTTCGTATCTTTGCAAGATCGGATTCTCTCTTCTGAATATCAGGGACACTCGATTAATTTTATGAACGCTCGATTGGGATTCTATCGGGATTCTATCGGAAGATTCATCTTGAAGAAAGATGAATCTTCAAGATTCCAAGCAAGATTCGCGGAAAAGTTCTCTCTCAAGGTCAAAGGGGGCGATTTTATGATCGTGCAGCCGAATTATACACGAGCTTCTCTTCGAGGTTTGTCGAGCGTCTGAATCAGGGGGGGTCTAGATCCTCGAATTGAACATGAAACTCGCCGGTCTGAGGAAAACAGATTCTCGTTTCGAGTAGTATCGAGTCTCAGTAGTGTGGCCGATAGTCTCATAGTCTCACCGATGCCGAGAGGCTCCTCGTTGGCCGATGGTATCGGACCTTCTTCAGGTACACCGTGTATATGACGCCGTCGCCCCTTTCCTCGCCCCATAAACGCCACGTGGGCTGCAAAAGCAAGATCGAGCGTCGAGTTTAGTCGTGAAAGTCCGTGCGAGTGGCGCATATATATCGTCGACGGTATAATGGAATCGCTAACAACGCGCGCTGCCGGGGGATGATTCACGCTCCTAATCTCAGGAGATACAAGCTGCTCCCCGTCTCGCGGACTAACAGAGTCAGCCTGTGACGAGCGGACGCGGCAATCCGTAGGCCGAAGGAGCTATCTCGAGCTTGTGCTCCGTCAGAGTTCTCCTCTCGCTGCAGCGAATCAGCTGTTCCGCTTGCTCCGATATGTGATGACACGATAATTTCATGACTATTGTGATGACGACGGCGTGATGGGCGACCTCGACTTGTGCCTCTCAGAAGATTGATCCTTTTCTCCAAAACTTGATTTTCGGTTCGCGCTCTTTTATCAGTGCTTGAGTGCTTCGTTAAGCGAAACAGCAATAACTCGATTCTCCGTTGAAAGGAATCGCTTTGTACAAAAAATGGAGCGGAGAAGGATCGCTAAGAAAAAAAAAAACGGAAAAGAAAAAGGAATTTCTGGAGGAGAAAGATGGAGACTTTCTCAAGAGTTTCGAGATCGCCCGTCGCTGATGCACGCCGTCGCTGTGCAAAGCGCCATCGATTATCACTGACATAGACTATCATTTTTTTGCAACGGACGAGTTCGTTCGGAAAGCCGATCGGATGATCCATCATCGCGTCCGCGCATTGATTAACATGCCATCGTATAAATTAATTGCTAACCGCGGAAAATCGGTTACTGTACTGTGAGTGTGCACTTTGGCACGTCACTTTAAAAGATTTATCGTCATCTAAATCGTCCACGGGCTGCGCTCTTGCATGCCGCTCTAATTATCTCTGCATTCATCAAGCGTGCTCTCCGAGCTAATGAGAAACGATCGAAAATCAATCTTTTTTTCTAATAAAGCCCTCGCGTCATCGCGTCGCGACGAAGATGCATACTTACGGCTCGGGTCGAAAGATTCCCCCGACGCGGGATTCCCCAAAATCACCTCTACATTCTACAAATTATCTAACATATACAACAATGTGTGCGTGCGTGCGTGCGTGCGTGCGTGCGTGCGTGCGTGCGTGTTCCCAACATTTGCATTGAGTTTCGCGAAGGCGCCTCGCGGCGGTAAATTTGCCCTCCGTTGAGATTGAACTCGACTCGCTTTCCGACGAAATTCAATTTCAGCCGAGGACGATCATTTCCTCGCGGGATTCCATCCGCCAAGGACTCAAAGCCGCCGCGAGAGAGCACCAAGGGGGCGCAAGAGGATCAGGACGAAACGGACAGAGGGGGAGAGCGTCGGGAAACGCGCGGGATCATCGCTCGGGCGCGAGAAAATTTCTCTTAAAGAAAAAGAAAGAAAGAAAAAAAAAAAAGAAGGAAAAAATCCTCACCAAGCTCGGCTGTTCGTTCGATAAAAAATCCCGAGACGTCGACTGAGTCATGTCCGTGCGTAATGAAGGCGCGCGTGCGCATTATGCATCGCACCGCACACGCGAGCACGTCGCTTATCAGTGACAGTCGATGCCAGCCGGTCTGCAATCAATCCTGCCTCGGTAAAGACAAACTTACTCACGCGATGACGCAACGCCGGCCCGATAAGCCCGCTTGCAAAGGTAGTTACCCTCTCGGACAAGGTGTTTCGGGGCTTATCAGCGCGCGTCCGCGCGAAGGGAACTGCAATTAACGATGTTCGTCGTGCAGGCTCCTCGTGTCGTGCGTCGTTCGTCGACGTGCGCTGCTCGTATAAATTTCAGCGCGAGCTGCGATACGATGAGAATAGCGACTCGCGCGCGCGCGCGGATCGTCGTTAATCACTATAGACAAACGCGCTCCTTGAACATTTACACACATTGGACACATTGTTCAACATCGCGTATCGTCGGAGGAGATTCTCGGCTGCCTCTTTCCCTCTCTGGAATTTTCACCATCCTGCGCCGCAAAATAACGGCGGTCGCGCTGGCCGAGCGACGCGACGCCCCGAGATAGAGAGAGAGAGAGAGAGAGAGAGAGAGAGAGAGAGAGAGATGAAAATTCAATTGAATTAGGAATTAAATTCAATTAACCGCGATCGCGCGCGGATTTCGCGTTATTTGTTCGACGTTGATTAACTTGGCATTGAACGGCAAGCCGGTCGAAGGCGGCTCGCGAGTGAACTCCGTGAGAATTGTCGAAGGCGAACACCGTTTCCCCGCCTGATCAATCCGGCGACTCGGCGTGTCTCGCTCGTGATTCGCGCGAATTCGTCCTTTATTTATCTGACATTGGAATTTCGTCAACAAAGCGGGGGAGGGGGGGCCTGCCTGTCGGAGCAGCTGTAAGAGGCTTAATATCGCGGATCTCGCGTGCGACAGACATTCGCTCCGCGACTCGGCGATTACAACCGAAGCCCTACGCGGACCAGTTCGCGGCTGGAGAAACGTCGCTCGGGCACAGACTCGATGGGGAAAAGCGTGTCATTGCCGTCGCCGTCGCAGTCTGGATTTCCCTCTCCTTGACGACCGCGCGAGCAGCAGCGAAGTCACCACTCCGCGGGAAACTCGCCGATTCATACCGGAGGAGCATCGTCGCGCCGCGGAACTGTCCGTTCTCTCGCGCTCGTTATCGGGGACGGGATTTTTTCGTCCTGCCTGAGGATAACGTCTGCGTTATTGAGCTCGCATGGGACAATCGCTTCGATAATCGTCGTCGATCTTTCCTCCTCCGCGACGGGCGACTCAGCGGGCGACGCCGAAAAAGTTTGCTCATTTCTCGTCGCGTTTCGTTCGTTCATTCATCTACAAGCCAATAACTCCATCCCCCGAACGAGTCGACCATTTGTCCCGGTGAATTGACTCATCTTGGGTAGACAGGCGCGATCTTGGCGCTCGCTCGACGGGCGAAATTTTCTGAAAAATTCCAACACCGAGAGATATCGAGAGCCGCCGGCTCGTCGACTTATACCGCTCCTCGGAACGAGCGGGGCAATTAGACGCCCGCGGGAGGAACCCGAGCGTGACTCGAGGTCCTCGTACCTGCTCGTCCTTGGACGCCCGCTTCCCTCGAGTGTCCATTGTTCGTAAACAGCTCGAGTGAGCGAGCGAGCGAGCGTGCACGAGCAGCTCCGTTCCTTCGTGATTCACGCGCGAGCCGACTCGCGAGTACCTCGCGATCGAGGCCGATCCACGACAATCGAGGGATTTCCGCTAAAGAGTGAGGCGAGTCCCATGAAGTCGCACGGTGTTATTCAATCGTTACGTCGCCGGCTACGTCGACGTGGCGCAATATCGCGATTTTCCTCCGGGTCCCAGGCTCCTCTCGTCAAATTCGCCTCCGTCTTCGGCGAGTGCAGTCGTACCCTGCGATTCGACGAAAGAGTCGCCGGGGGGGGGGGGGAAGAGGACAATCGAGTCCGCTGAAATTGCGACCATTCTCGGAGTCACTCGAAGTGTTTCGCATGTTTCAAGAAAAATGCCGAATGAGACGTCGGTAACGCTTTAGCATTCTCTCTCTCTCTCTCTCTCTCTCTCTCTCTCTCTCTCTCTCTCGGCGAAGTGATTTCCTCAATCATAATTATTTCATTACGCAATTACAGCCGCAAATAGCGCGTGGCGTTTTTCCACCAGCGATCTCGAGCGACTCGCCGATGAGAGAGAGAGAGAGAGAGAGAGACACGCGTCGAGGACGCGTAGTCGCGGCTTTTCGGTGCTCGTACTCGCGTAGTTCTCCCGCGCGATCGATCGACAGCGGCGAATGTAAAATTCACGAGGACGCGTCGATATCGTCGGCTCCCGCGGAGCCATAAGTAAATTGCCGGTGACATTGTTTGCCGTCTCGCGGCTAGCCCGCGCCGTTTCTGGAACGCCGCGAACGGCGAACGACCGAGACGCCTGCCCGCCGTCGCGGAATCTCGAAAACGTCCCGGGGTCAACGGTCTGTCCGCGCCCGAAATACACCCCATTATTTCCCATCAAACTCGCGGAGTGCCATAAGGCGAGAGTCGCAGCTCGGCAGTAACTTTCGTCCATCGAGCCTTGCGCGGTCGAGCTATGCGCGCGCGAGCGTGATGTGGGCAATTTTTTATCCGAGTATCCGAGGAAGGCAAATTTGCAAAGTTTGAGGAGGAGCTACTTGTTTCGAGCTCCGCTCGAACACAGGATGCTTCGCGATCGCTTCAAAGTAGCATATTTCTTGCGAGACGTGAATTTCTTTGAATTTCACGTCTCTCTCAACTTCAAAGCCAGATCCCCGCTAGATAATGCATAATAACTCTGTCATCTGACTGTGAGAACAGAGTGAAAATAATAGTACTAATAATAATAATAATAACAACAACAACAACGATAACAAAATGTCAGGTGCAAGTTTGCAATAAGCACGACGATCATTGCGGAGCAGTCAAAGCGTCGAACGCGTTTTCCCGCAGCGGTCTGACTCTCCCGCGAAAAGATTCGTCCCGGGCGCGATAACGCGACCGATGCAAATCCCTGCTAATTAAGCCGCGAGCCGGCGCTTTTTTCCGCGTCACGCAGAAGACGGCGATACGGTTCCGATGACACTCTGACCCTGATTACCCGATCAAGTAGTCGCGCGCGCGCGCGCGCGCGCGAGAGGCAATACGCGTGCGTGTTGTACGTCGCTTATAATCCAATGCCGCTACATTTATCACTTCCAAGGTTTCGGCCACCAAGACTCGCGCAATTGCGCCGATACGCGTTCGCAGCGGCGCTCGTACGTGCGGAGAAACGCAATCCCGCGCAATCGGAGATCTCGCTCATCATTATGCATCAGCCCAAACACGATGACGAAAGCGACTGGAAGCGAGACAGACAGACAGACAGACAGACAGACAGACAGACAGACAGATAGACAGACAGACAGACACAACGCAAGACTCGCGACGCTACCAAACACACTGCACTCGCTACACGAACAAGTCTTGCCAGCTATAATCGCATGCAACTGCACAACGGAAAAGCGGCCGAAAAAGCGCGCGCTCGCCGGCGGAGCGGCGAGCTCCGTCAAGGTAGACCTCGAGTCGACGAGCGAGTCCGACGTGACAGTCTCTACGCTGATAGCGAGATAAATACGCGAGAGCGTCCCGCGATACGCGATCGAGAAGTCCACCCGGTCCTCCTCGGCTGGGACACGTCCGCTGGAAGCGTCAGCGAAGCTGTACATTCAATCCACGAACACACTCGACGACGAAAGCAACGGGCCAATGCGAGAACGCGACGCGAGAGCGGCCGGCCGGCCGGCCGGCCGGCCGCGTCGATGTTATCGAGCCGGCCGATACGCCTTATCGCCGTAATTTCGCGGAATCGAGCGAACGATCGCTCGCTCGCTCGCTCGCTCATCGAAGGTGCGCGCGCGCGCGCGCGCGATTAAAACGACGGACGTTCGTGCAGCATCCGCCGGCGCGGCTTGTGTTTGTCTCTTTACCTGTTGCACGTACCACTGGGTGGAGCTCTGGCTCTTCCGGTGGCCGCTGGGCTTGCAAGGGGCGCAGAGCAGCAGAGGGGTCAGTTTGTTCACCCCCTTGACGGGGGCAGCGCCGGTCGCCGCCGGCGTGGGCGACGCTGCTGGGCTCAGCCCGTCATCCCCCCCCAACACCGGCCACAGCATCCACGTGTGGATCCACGTCCGTCCGCACAGCTGCCTTCCTCCCTCCTCCTCTCCCCCCTGCGCCCCGTCTGAAGGCCAAAGCCCGTGCGGCGGCCGAGGGTGGCTCGCTCTTTCTCTCTCTCTCTCTCTCTCTCTCTCTCTCTCTCTCTCTCTCTCTCTCTCTCTCTCTCTCTCTCTCGGCCGCCCCTGTTTTCTTCTCGCTCCTCCTCGTTTCGCTCGCCTCTTCTCGGCGCTTCCTCTTGGTCCTCTGCGCCCTCGCGCGTCCTCCTCCGCCTGCGGCGACTGTCTTCCGGAACCCCCGATGCGTCGAGCTGTCGCCACGCAGGTCGCCGGCGGACTAAATCGTCGTCGTCGCGTCACGCCTCGACGATGACAACGGCGACGTTGACGCGCGCGATCGCCGCGGGCTGCAGGAGCGTATCATCGCAGGCCGCCGGTGCGTGTCTCGGGCGTTCTTCTTCTTCGTCGGCAGCTGCGGCTGAAGTTGCGAGCGATCGCGCTTGAGCACGGCGGATTAGGTGCTTCAGCTCTCGTTGAGCTGCCTCGACGGAGAGAGTCACTCGGTCGTAACCTCGTGCGGGTGCACGGACGTGTCGCGACTTTGGCGTGATCGGCAAACGCGCGCCGCCGACTTTCGCGGCTCCCTTTGGCTCCGAACGGGAGTTGTCGAGATTCGGCGGAAATTCGAGTTTTTCGACTCGGGTCGCTCGGTGGCGCGGATCGATGCGAGCATCTATCGGCTAACGGCGCAGCTGGAGAGCTCGTTCGGCAAATTCGAGTCCAAACGCGCGAGTCTCAGACTTTACGATTGCTCGGATTACTCGTCTAAATTTACGTAAAACCGTGTAAATCCAGGCTCGTTGCTGGCGAAAGCTTGCTGGCCGCTTGAAACGCTTGTTTCGCTCGGGACGGATATCGGTGAAACTCCGGACGAGCTTCTCGGACGAATTTCCAAATGAAAAAGTTCACTTGCTCGAGTCAGCGATCGCTCCGGTCGTTTGTCGCCGCGCCTTTGATCGGACGATGCTTGCGATTCCGCGGGAGGGGGGAGGAGGGGGGCCGCGGCGACATGCGGCTCGCGCTCTCTCGTCCGCCATTAATCATTCTTGCAGCTGACTTACGGCTGACTTACAAACAAAAACAGAGAAAAAGCAAGCCGCGTGCTGAACTTTATTTCGGGCGGCTCTAATCAAAGGGGAGAGACGCCTCCGTTCTCTCGCCGCGCTCCAACAGCTCGGTAATTAATTACGAAAGGTCGAAGGTGACGTGCGTGTTTGTATGCACTTCCGGTATGCACGCATATCGCGGCCACTCTCACGTAGGCGAAGCAACCCCATCGCGCACGAGCGTCGCGCGTACCCCCGACGAGACAACTTGACTCCGCTGCGCGCCTCCCACCCCCCCCCTTTCCACCCCCGTCAAAGGTAAATGTTAACTGGCGCAAGCGACGCGCTATTTGAAGACCGAGTGCTGCGTTTTGTCGGAAACAAAAAGGGAGACTGAACAATGTGTCGTGACAAGAACGAGAGAGAGAGAGAGAGAGAGAGAGAGAGAGAGAGAGAGAGAGAGAGAGAGGCAATTTCGCTCAACTTTTATATTTTATTTCGTTAACAGCGGCCCTTCGATCGATCAAAATAGTCGACTGTTGGAAAAAGTAACAAAATACACCACGAGAATGTAACTTTAAATAAAAAGGTGCATAAAAAGGTCGTGATCAACTTCCGAAAAACCCACCCCTCCACGTCAAGTTGTTAGAAATTTATCGCCCAGATTTATTTATTTAAATAACATTATGTATCGCTATTTGCAGTATTACACCACTTTTCTAAATTTATCTGTGCATCGCGTGCATTATATTTAGATAACAAATGAATATCTGTTCCAACTTAACCTCACCTCTGAAAAACACCCCAGTGACCATCTACGCAAAAAATGACGCGACTAAGTAATTAATAAGCAAACAAATACATAATATATATCACGGTACGTAGATTTATGTTGGGAAAGAAGCGTAATATCGTCGGCGATACGTCAGTCAAACTTTTTCGGTTGTTAAAATTTGTCGCTGAAAATCCGCTCGAGAGAGGCCCGTCCATTTGCGGTCGCTCGAAGGGTTCTCACCGAAAGTCACGGCAGTCACATGGGTGGTTTCCGGGAAGTCCATCCGCAGAGCGTGCAAATCCCGCCGTACGATCCTCAATCGCAAATACCAAGCAGGAATTAACCGCGTCGCGAGTGACAGATATTTCGTCCTTTTTCTCGCGAAGTGCGATTTGGGCTTCGCGCGGCGCGACGAGAAAAAAAATGCCGCTTCATCCCGGCGATGTTCCGACGAGCTCGCGAGCTGTCCGCGCGACGTCCTCTTCCTCTCTGGCCGACTCAATGCGAGCGTTAACGCTCCCTAATTGCCGGCTCGTTACGCGTCGCCGTCGCGTTTTATTCTACTAATGGGCAATAATCCGCCGCGAATTGACCGCTGCGACTGCGCGGCGGTCTGATGTCCCGCTGGGAAACGACGGCGTGGCAGTCGATACGAAATGTCAGTCAAACGAAAAAGGCCGTTTTAATCTTGAAATATTTCCCGGCAAAGCGCGGCGGATCGCTCGCGTCTCGTTCCGCGGAACGTTCATCTCGGCGCGTTTGTCATTTTCATTTATTCCACGTATTTCGAGAGAAACGCTCATTCTGATGCGATCAATTCCTCATTTTCCTGCTCCCGCTGCTAATGTCCCCGCTCCCGTTCCTCGTTGTTACACGCTCGGCTCGCGTGTGCTTCTCGTTGGAAGTTTGCGAATAATACTATCCCCGAAGGATATTATCCAGATATCTCCGCTCTCGAAATATCCGCTGACGTATTTTCGCCCTCTCTCTCCCTCTGGGAAAAATTTTCCAGAACTCCGCCGGAATAGAACCCGGCTCTGAAAAAAGCCTGACTTTCCTCGAAATATCCCGCCGTCCCGTGTTCTCTTTCTCTCTTTCCCTCTCTTGAGAATTGCTCGGGAAATATTCTCAAAAAATGCTGTCCCTCGCGTCGCGCTAACGAAAGGCAAACGGCCAATTTTCGGCGCTGTTTGCTCGCGAAACGGGGAGAGGGCCAGAGGGAGAAGGTTGGCGTGGAAACACACAGCGGCCTGATTGATCCCGGCCCCGTTATCTCCCTCCTCCTCTTCGTTTGTTGCGAAAGTAATTCGATTATCGCTCGCGATTGGATTTTCCGCGGACGTGAGCCGCCGCCTCGCGCGGGCGGCGCGGCGGCGGGCGCGCAAATGCGATCGAGTAGAATACGGAGAACGATAAAAGTGTCGATGCCCGTCGACGCCTCGTTGCGATAAAACGAACGCCCCCCGTGCGTCGCGTCGCGTCGCGTCGCGTCGCGACATGACACGAGTGCCGAACGGGCGTATGTCCGCGGCCTTCACCCCCTACCGAAACCGAGAAACGATCGCGTAAAAAGAAGCGAGTCCAACGCGCGTCCCATTTCTCCCTTCGGGGTAGCTATTTCGCCGACAATTTCCCTTAAGCCGAATTACCGTCGGCGCGCGATCGCCTTCGGCCGAGGCGAGCATTAATCTTCCCCGTGTCGGGCCGACGTTGTCGCAATAACCGTTGAGTGAAAGATAGCCGTGACACCAATTTTCCCTCGGCCGAAACATCTCGGCCGCCTCGGAAGTTATCGCTCGGATGATCCCGCCCGCCGAAGATCTCAGCCGCGAGCCTTGAATTTCGAGCTCTCTCGGATTACTCCGAAATTTAGATTCCTTTTTATTATCAGGAGAGAAGGCGATCCTCTTTATCCGATTGTCGATTTCACAGTGCTAAAATGAGGCAGAGCCGCGCTGCGCGAGAGGCGAGGAGATCCGAAAACGCTGCTCGACTTGCTTTTGACATTTTGCGCTTTATTTAATTTGACGGACGCAATTGTTTATTTGCGCGGGACGAACGCTACTTGGTTGGATGTTGCTCTCGAGTTGCTTTCGCGCTGTTCCCGGGATTGACGATATTCCCGATGAAAGGAGGCCGGCGATCAAGCGAATTTTTCCCCAGGATTCTCAGCCGGATTGGAAATGCCGCGAGGCAAACAATTGCCATCGATCCTCGCAAATATACCCGGAAACAAAGGAGATTTCCCATGCGAATCGATCGTGTCGCCGGATATTGCTTGATATTAGCTTTCAGCCTCAGAGCTCTCGGAGAGAGAAACACGACGAATTTAAGAGGAGTTATCTAATCTACCTTATCTCTCTCCTCTCTCTCTCTCTTTCTCTCGTACATTTCGAGCTCTATCTGATTATATAAAAATTACATAGAATCACCATCAGCTCTTCTCTTTGGCAGCATTAGCCGCGAGTCTCGCGTATCGCTTCCGGACCAACGACGCGAAGAAAAACGCCGACGCAACAACGCCGATCGTGCGAGCTGCTTGCAGTTTAGGTTAGCGGCGCATTGATAAACGAAAAAGAACACGCGAGTAAATTATGGGAAACGAGTGGCCACTGCTAATGGCTCGACTCGGTTAGTCATTCATTACGCTGGTACGCGAAAACGGCGCACGTGCGCGCTCACGTACGCCCGCGTGTTTGTGTGCGCGCTCGCACGACTCAACAATAACTGGTTAGACGCTTTCAAGGTGCTTTTGCAAGCCAGACCTAATGTTACTCTCGAGCAGAAACGCATTCTTGTCGGATGATTTTCCACTTCGGTATTATTCGTCGACCTTACCCAACCCACTCGAGGAAGAATGCGCGCGCGCGCGCAAATTTTATGAAACGCTCGCGGCGGAGACACGTGAAAATGGCCATCAAATGGGGATCGTTAAAGTGTAGGAAAATGCAGAAAAATGTTAAATATCCGGCACGACTCAGGGTGCGGTCCATCAATCGCTACGAATGCTTCGAAGCGTTTTTACTTCTCTCTCTTTCTTCGTTTGCATCCGAGAAATAGAACGAGAAAGAGAAACGCTTCGAAGCGTTTGTAGCGGTTGCCGGACCGCACTCTCAGAGAGACAACGAGAGAGCGACAGAGAGAGAGAGAGAGAGAGAGAGAGAGAGAGAAAGAGGAAGAGACTCGGAGAGATCTCGGAGCAGCGAAATCGAAAGCGGAAGTGATACCCGAGGCGATTACATGATAGCCAGCTGACAGAGCAACGCGCTTTATCGAATCTGAGAACACAAGTGGTTTGGCTGCTTGGTGTGTGCGTGCGACTGATCAATTTAATGTGAAAAAAAGAAGAAAAAGAGAAATCGTGAGTGTGCAGAGGTCGTAAAATTGCCGGCAAAATTGGCGACAGATCGTCAGGCTTCGCCTTCGAGGCCGATGATGGTGCAGTCCAGATTTCTAGGCGTCATCTCGTTTGTTACTTTCGACGAGCAACGCGAACGCGAGGCAAATTCCTTCGAGGTGAATTTGCGCGCGAAAACTACCGGTTGAGGTCGCGAGATTTCCGCCTTCGGCTCGCGCGATCGAAATGTCAGCGGCTGTTTGCATTAATTATATATACACGCGACGAATATATCGGCGAAATTTTGTTTTCGATCTTCGGAGCATCGTGACGCTGTCGGTTTCTGCGTAATTTTCGTCGTCGGGCCGATCGAATCCGCCGATTACGCTGTGCGGGGAGAGAGAGCAAAACAGCGACGTTAACGTTTTCCTTATGATTAATTAAAAAGCAAACTATCGACTGCGCTCGCCGGATGAGTAATCCCCGGCTACGAGAAAGAAATCACTCGTTTCTTTCGCGTGTCTTTCCGTTAAAACACGCGGCTATGAATTTTACACTTGTTCGCTGAATTTTATTGTGTGAATCATTGTGCAACCGGATCGATCGCGAGCGACGCGCATTCCAACTCGCGCTGAAAACAACAAAAGTGACTCGCATGGAAATACGGGCCTTCCAAGCGCGCGCGCGCGCGCGCGCGGCGACAAACTACTAATAATTTATACGCCAACCTGCCACTTAACTCGTCGTTGGGGCCCCCGCTAATCTCAGCAATCGGGCCGATAACTTAAAGTGATCGCCACAATACGGTATCTGTCAGCCACGCAAGTTCCGCGCGACGACAGGACCAGAGTCACGTTTTGTCTCGAGCAGAATTCAAGTCCGTCCCTCTCTCTCTCTCTCTCACTCGGAGCGGAGCTCGCTCCGAGTGAAATTGCCGTGCGCGAGCGTGGCCCGCACGTTCTCCGCGAGAGAAGCAACACATCGGCCGACGACAAAGCACACCGCGTGTCCGACCGCGCGATTTCCGTCGCGATTTTTCTCCGCGCGACGGCTTATCGGCCGCGCGCGATCTCGCGTCGGTATCCTCCAGTTTCCATTTGCACGATCACGCCCGCCGATGATCTCAGCGGCTGTTAATCACCGCGCGCACTTCAGCACCCACGACGAAGACAACGACCAAGCGAGTGACTCTCGCGAGCGAGCGGGCGCACCTGCTCTCTTCTCTGCGGGGCCCCTTACCTGTGCGTCGACTCGGTCGGCCTGCCCCTGGCCAGGCCCCGGCGAGACCACGAAACGAGGAACGAACAGCCCGGGCGCGCGCGTGCGTGCGTGCGTGCGAGACGCACGCAATCGCAGGAAATCGGGAATGACCGCGCTGCTCGCCGTCCCGACGCCGACTGACTGACGCGGTCGTTGCAGTCGCACCGGCTCAACGTAGCCGAATGCACTGACCACGCCGCCACGCTATCGTCGCGACACGGTCAGGAACGTAGCGACCGTATCGAGCGCCGAGGCTGCGAGACGGCGGCGTTTCCGCGTCCCTCGCCGCGTCGAGCCGCCGCGCGAAGGGTGAGGATCGACCCGGCGCCGCCGAAGCTCTTTGTTCGTCGACGAGTGAAGAAAACGGCTGTCTGGGATGCCCGGCGCTCGTCGTAATCGCCGCCGCAAATGGCTAATTACGGATAATTGTTTAACCGTCGGAAATTCGGCCGAGCGACGCTCGCGGACTCGGCAAATGCCGTTTCTCCGTCACGTGGAGGTTGCCCCTTCTCCCCCCCCCTCCCCTCCCCTCCCCCGCCGCCGCCCATCCCCGCTTCGGATGTTTCAGAGTCCAATTAACGCGAGATCAGATTTTTGCTGATGTTTGCCACTACTGATATTAACCTTCGTCAGGATAGAACGATTTTTTTATGACGCAAACGAGGACAGAGGAGACACCTCAGAGGCTCTCAGTACGGAGGGTAGCTGAAATTAATAATTCTAAAATATTTCGTTCTTTTTTTTAATCCAGTTCATGTGCTCGTAAGGAACATCTGCGAAGTGTGTGTGTGTCTCAGATTTCGACGAAACTTCGGCATATTTGTAGAGTAGTCAGAAATAAAAGGTCCATATTTCTTTAATCCGCAACGGCTCAGGTTTAAGAGATGAAACGGGCCCTCAAAGTTTCATCCCCTTTGTGCCATCTCGATAATTATTGCAGATACGAAAAAACTTTTTAAACAAAAATTGCACGTTTATGCGGTATATTTTTGTTTAAAAAGTTTTTCCCCATCTGCAATAATTATCGAGGTAGCGTAAAGGGAGTGACTGCCTCTCAGGGGCAGTTTCATCCCTGCAAGTGTGGCAAATTTTGTCGAAATCCCGAGACGCACAGGTTCGTGGATGTTTCTTGTCAGTGAGATAGTGACATATCAGTATACATGTGATAGATTATTTATATTTATCACGTTTGATTTTTGATTTGAAAAAGGCTCTTCCATTCGGATGAAGGTTAATGTGTGTGTCGGTGTATCGTTTCGGTTATCATTATGATAGAATCGCATCATAGAATCTCATAACCATACACGATGCCAATTAGAAATAACATATTCCGTATAATCAGTGCTACTAATTATATACTACTAATATTAGTGATATAGCTTTAGCTCAAAAGCTGATTCGCGATATCAGCCGGAACGAGACGCAATGTTTTTTTTTTTTCAAGGAAAGCTTCCCGCGAAACCGCAATTAGAATTAGAATACGAGAGGTGGAATCGCGAGATGCGTGACAGAGGTATACGCATGACCGCCTGCGAGCCTCAACGAGGATCTCTCGGCCACGCTTTCTACACGCGATCCTGCGGCCACGTGGCACGGAGGTCTCGCACGATGGATGGCCTCCAGGCTGCGACTCGTGTCGAGTAAATTTGATTCGCCACGCTGGAACGTCGAGCGCATCGCGCTCTCGACCCCCCCCCTCTCGCGAGCGTCTGCGATCGCGCACACTTGTCGTCTCTCAGTCTTCGAGGGCCCGACGTTATCGACTGGACGCACCCTTGAAAGCGACTCCATGAGAATCGCTGCCTCGGGGCGCCTAACTCGCACACAACCGCCGAGGCAGAACGGGGGTTGCTCCTCCACCATGCGAGAGCAGACTCGTGCGCGTCCCCGTGGAGCGCCCTGTGAGTCATCAAGTTCTCCTCGTGTTTGTACTCGTCGTCTGCCGCCGCCGCCGCCGCCGCCGGGCCGACGAAGGGACGAAGGGCGACATTGTGAGCGCGCCGGAACAACCCTCGAGCCGTCGGCGTGAAATGAAACCGCGGGGGTAGCGCGATAGCCAGATGCGCGCGACCGCCAGCTGCTCTCTGCGGCGGTAAAAATGTTGGAAAAGGCGCGCGACCGCGCGCTCGCTGTATAATATTCTTCGTGCCAACTGATGTAAAATTCCCCCGGTGACGAGCGTTTTGAGGACCGAGGAGGATCCGTAGAAACTCAACGAAATAACGAATTTCACTTCTCGGCCAAGAAGACAATTTCGTATCTCCCGGCTAGGAATAATTATATTTCCCGAGCGAAGGAAGATCATCGCCGTCTACTGAGAGACGGAATTCCGAATCGGACAGTCCACGTGATGAGCCCAGCGATGCTCGTCGACAATCCACCTCCGCTCTCAAAGAAAGTCACACGCGATGTTCGATCGTCGAGCCGGGAATCCCCGGCCATGAAGGGCGAGCGGTCGCTAAATACCGCGGCGAGGCGCGCGCGCGCGCGCTCGTTGTTGAACTTGGAGCGATAACGACGCAGGTAACAACGGTCGCCTGGCGGAGGATCGGGTTCCTGCGCGAGCCGACGCGCTCGTCGTCACGCACTCGTGACGCAGGAGCTCGCCGCCCGCGGCGGCCGTTGCGTCATCGTACGGACGTCACATTGTTATCTAGCGCGTTCGCGATGCCCGTGGGACGAGTAGGGTCGATCGTCACGCGCGGAAATGCGCTCGATTTAGTACCGTACGCGTAGGGGTGCAACGATTTCTCCAAATATCGATAACGATATTATCGTCGTGTTCAGAACGATCGATAACGATAAATATCGGTAATTTTGAAAAATATCGATATTTATATAAAAAAATGTATACATACAGCGGTGGGTATGCATAGAAAGGATACGCACGAAAGATTTGAAGAAGATCTTTTGAAAAATGTTTATCTATCCTCATATAATTTATTGTCGTATTCTTATTAGAAAATGTATAATGAACCGCAGTCATTTGCCGGAGATACCACCATATACAGCAGGAGCAGGGGATCTATTACGGTTCAACGATCGAGGTGGAAATGATGAAAAGTGAGCGAATTTACTAGACATCGAACAATTACATAATATATATTCGCGTGAATTCACTGACTTTTGTAATTTTCATCTCGGTCGTAGAACCATAATAGGCCCCCCCCCATAGAGCTGATGGTAACTGCAAAATACGAAAATCAATAAAATTCATATCGACATGTCGATTTTGTCGGAGACAAAAAATATCGATAAATATTCGATACTTGCCTCCCGATATATCGATTTATCGTCGCATCCCTACGTACGCGTCGTACTTCGAAGCGCCGCGGGCACATGGCGACTTTTCGCGGCACGTGGGAGAGCGGCCGGGGGGGGGGAGAATGGGAAATACGAGATCTCACGTGTCCACGTGCTCAATTTCGGGCATGTCGCATGTGAGTATTTAATCTTTCCCTCAAAGACGACTCATCGCTCGTTGTCGAAATGCTCGACGATCGCAACGACGTCTCGGCTCATCTCAAACCGACGTGGCCGATTTTGGCTGCACGCACGGCGACTACCGATTGCGCGAGTCAACGTCAAATCGCGATTCTTCAGGTAATCACTCTCGACCGCGGCTCGGACTGCTTCATGACAATGTTTGCCGCTCCCCCTTCCCCTCTCGCCCGGAGTCGAAGCCCGGCCGAGCTGGAAAGCAGCGACCGACCTTCCACCGGGCGTCGTCGCATCTGAGCACCAGCTGCTGGTCGATAAGGTCGTTTGCTACGTCTATGACTATTGTCCTCGAAATCTATAGAAAGCAGATTAGTTTTTCTTTTGTGTTTCCTACATTTATTTTTTGTCTCAATTGAAAGACAGATTTTTGTCTAATAGTTGTCTATTTCTTAATTAAGTTTTTAAAAACGAAAATATTTTATTTCTTTAATTTTAATTTCGAGAATATAACAAATAAATTCTGCAATTTTTAATTACCCAATCAAAGAATAATTTTTTGAATATAAAAGTCAACGATTTATATCAAATAAATTTTACACAAAAGTAGATATAATTTTAATAATTATTTTAATAAGTAATTTTAATGCTTATTCTTATAATTAGAAAAAAAAGTCGCCGTGCGCGTCCGCGCGGCGGCAAATTCTAAGCGCGCTCCCCACAGAATTCCGCTCGCGGCGTAATAACGACATTGATCGTCGATCAAGTCGCTGGGCCGGTCTTTTGTTACCTTTCCCGTCGCCCGGCGGGAGTCTCTTCGGTAGATAGCACGACGAATTCGTATTTTCGGGAGCGAGCCGACGCTTTACGAGCGAGACCTGCTGCGTCCTGCGACCGAGAAACGTCCTCTCGAGAGCCGCCTCCGAAGCGTGAAACGAAAGGAGCCTCACGAGAGAGAAAGAGAGAGAGAGAGAGAGAGAGAGAGAGAGAGAGAGAGAGAGAGAGTGACGGAATTCTCACGGGAATTAGAGATCAAGTGGCTCCTCCAATGGACAATCATTTGCGCGACCCAGAAAGGCGTACCGAGTCACACTTTTTATTCGCTGTGCGCGATATTTGCCAAATTTCTTTCTCATTGCGATCACAGCTGAATCGCGCCGGCCGCTTTCAGGGGCCAAGAGCGTCATCCGGACGGAAGCAGCGCGAACGTTAAACAGCATCGCGTAAAATACGTTGCAGCTGCGATGCGTCGAGATAATCAGCAACGGAGGCAACTGAGGCGGATATAATCGTCCGGCTGCGCGGCGAACTGCGTCCTGCCGCCGATTACATCCGTCATTAAGCCGTCTCGCGCGCGACCCGCAAGAAACTCTTCCGGGTTGTCGCGGTGTCATCCAGCCGCGCTCAGATTCCGGACCACCGCGTCGCCGCCGTTCTCGGCGGATGGAGATGAGTTTTCTCCACTTTCACGCGGAAACGAGCGTCGTGAGACACGTGCTCGGCAAGCAGCAGCAGCGGTGGCCAACCCGTCGGACGAGCGAGCGATACCGGAGATCATGATCCTTCAGCCGTCGGTAGGCTGAATTGGGGTGGACGCGGACGCTAACGGACGGGGGGATCTTGTGAGTCATCTCGTCGGTGATGGGCGCCGATAAGTCGGCCCGCGAATCGAAACCAATTGAATTCAGAGCCAAAGGCGGTTGACAGAGTCGACGAGAGAAACGCAAAGCGCTCGTCAATGAAGCACGTTCAGGTCCGGTTTGATATCGGTCGCATGATAGTGCCTAGAAAAAATGCCTAGAGGCGTAACGTCTCTGAAAATGTATCTAAATGACGAAGATACCTTGGAGATACCGAGCGTTATTTTCTTCTTATCGCATGTCGACGAACTGCTCTCGGCGTTTTTTAATCTCCGTAATCTCGTCGGTCGTATCCTTCCCAGGATACGCGACAGTCGAAAGCTCGACCAGTCTCTTAAATTGTACCATCTATTGATCGTCCGTATCGCACCGGTAAAATTTAGGAATTTCCAAGAAAAACTACGTCTATGACTATTGTCCTCGAAATCTATAGAAAGCAAATTAGTTTTTCTTTTGTGTTTCCTACATTTATTTTTTGTCTCAATTGAAAGACAGATTTTTGTCTAATAGTTGTCTATTTCTTAATTAAGTTTTTAAAAACGAAAATATTTTATTTCTTTAATTTTAATTTCGAGAATATAACAAATAAATTCTGCAATTTTTAATTACACAATCAAAGAATAATTTTTTGAATATAAAAGTCAACGATTTATATCAAATAAATTTTACACAAAAGTAGATATAATTTTAATAATTATTTTAATAAGTAATTTTAATGTTTATTCTTATAATTAGAAAAAAAAATGTTTTTCATACAAGCTGCGATTTTAATTAATTTCTTAGTGAACTTTCTAAAAAAAAAATTTCTTTTTATTTTTGTAATTTTAATGTTTATTTTTTTTATTAGAAAATATTTTTGTTTAATTTCTTGTATAAGCTGTAATTTCACATTTTTATTTAAATTGTATTTCATTCTTGTCCTCTCACAGTTCTTAAATTATTCACATCGGTATGATAAAAAGAATTCCGTGGTTCAACAATTCAAGCAACTAGTTAGGTCAGAACTATTCCACTTGCGGAGGTTTTAAAAAAGATATATCTGCAAAAGACATCGTGCAAAAGATCTCAAAACATCTAAAAAGAAATAGAATTTTACAAACAGATCAAAGATAATTTTTCAATTAGTCTTTCTTCATCTATTTAATTATTTGCAAATTATAAGAAAAACAATTGAATACTGGTCCAATATAGGCAACTTTCCCCTACTTTCGCCAATGTAACATATCGCAAGCAACGCTCGGCTTTCCGAGTCTCTCGCAATCGGTCGACAATACGTCGAGCATCAGTCTGAATTCTTACTTAACCAACGTATCTCGAGCTAGTCGTTCCTATTCTTGGACAACCGTTTCATTCCAAAGTCCGTCGAGTGCGCTTTCGATATTCATGATTTCGATCGTTTTGATATCTCCGTGTAATCCTCGGCAAACATATTCGCGCTTCAGCCGTTCGGCTCTTGCGCGGCTCAAGTCCGACGGAACTATCCATTCAACGCGATCCTCTCATTATTTCGAGCAGCGTGCTCGCCGAAGTGCTCCTCTCCGGCGCTCACGTGCCTCCACGTTTCATGCGTTTTTCCGCACACACACGCGCGACCGAGTTCACGTGCGCGCGATCGCACGCACCGATCGCCGGCCGAATTCCGGCCGGGGCAAGCCGACAGTCAGCGACGACTCGGCGACGTTCGATTTCTCGCAGCTGGAAGGAAAACGTCGCTTGATGTCGGCGAAAGCGCGTAGAAAGGCTCGCGCGCAATTTTCCCAGCGCAATTTTACTTTCATCCTCACCGCGCCGGCGCTCCTAACAAAACTCGATCGCGCTTGCGATGCGCCCTCTTCGCGACCGCTATCGCGAGATGACAATTAAAGGGGTGTCCCCTCCGCCGAACTCGCGGCTACGCAACCGTGAATTTGCATGAGGAAAAACCCGCGCGGATCGCGCTCGAGCGCGTCCCGTCCGTGCGAAATGCGCGAAATCGTCCCGTCACGGACGGGCTTTTCAACGGTGAACGAGGTGGACCTTGAAGTGCCTCGTTCCGCGATCGGGATCGTTCCGTGGGAGATGATGACTCAGAGCGTGTCCCACGCGTGTCGATTTTTCTGTTTTTCGTTTCCCATTTGCGACGATAGAGAACAGAGAGAGAGAGAGAGAGAGAGAGAGGGAGATAATAGCGCGCGCGCGGAATGAAACGCGACGTCTCTCTGAAATATTCGGCGATATTCATCGTTTTGTCGTTTTGTCGTGTCTGCTCGACGGATTCGTATCTTTCGACATCGATATTCGATTTCGGACAATTTGACACGTATGATAATATTATATTAGCGGCGATTGCGATCGACGTTCGACGATCTGCGTGACTTTGACCGACTGCGAGCGTCGCTGTCGTGCGGACGACCTTCGCGACACATTTGGCGGTCTCTCTCCCACGAGGGTGAAATACGAGCCGCGCGAGGGTGAAAGGCGAGAAATCGAGATTGATGGGCGGAAAGGGGTTAAAGCCGCGCGTAGCCAGACGGGATGATGTTATCGCGGCCGCCGGGCTGTTTTCCCCGAGAACCGCCGACGGAAGCGATATTGCAGTCAAGGCCGAACTCGTCGAAACAGTTAGCGGTTTCAAGTCGGACGGTCGGCTCGCTGAAGTTCAGCCGGACGCGGCCAATCGGCCGGGATCGCCGCGAGAAGCGCGTCGTTATCGCGCGCGGTCGATCCGCGGAACTCTGCTTTTGCAAGCCGCGAGGTGCCGCCGGATTTCACTCACAAATCCGCGACCGACACCTGTTTGACTCGCGTCGTGCGCGCGAAAGCAGCGAGACCCTTCCCGAATCCAAGCGATTCTCGCGTTCCTCGCTCCTTCGAGTTCGACAGGAAAAAAATAGCCCCAAAATCATCGAAGCAGAATATTAATATCTCTTCGGATTCCAAACAGTCGAGTTCGATAGCTCGACGAGCTGATCGATCGAGAGAGAGAGAGAGCCGTTCCTGCTCCGAGGAATTTCACGTCAGCCGCGGCGGTTCTTGCAGCGCGAAAGAAATCGCGGAATTCATTCTCCTCATTTCTCGAGGCGAAAAACGCCTCCGTCTCGCGAGACGTTGATCATTTCGCGAAAGAAGCTGATTAATAGCTTCGCTCACGCGCCGCGCCCGCTCGTGGTGATTTTTCATCGGGCCGAAATCGACGACGAAATCTCGCGCACGCGCTTCATTTACTCCGACAACCTGCGCGAGCTGCAACTTCGAGCAGTAGCGCGATGCATGGAAATCAGCAATGCAGCCCCGGCAGCTGCCGAGCAATCAAACACGTGCATTTGTGTAAACGATCGGCCCGCGCGCGCGCGCTCAATAGCAATTCCACAGCCGACGGAATCAACACTCCGGCCCGACGTTTCTCTTCAGTGGCTCCGTTAAATGCTCGGCACGACTGTATCCGATTGCGCAGCGCGCCAATGTCGCCAGTGTCCTTTTCAAAGTTCGGCCGCGAAATAAAAATAAAGCCGCGACTCCACGCTCGTATCAGCGACGACGTTTTTGTTTGCGCCTGCGGACGCGCGCGCGCGCGCGACGGGGACGTCCCGAAATTACCTCGGCAGCTCCTAAAGGAGCATCACGCGCTTTCTTCTTCTCAGATCTCAGATCGCAGCCGAGCGCCGCCCCTGCTTCGCGCTCGCGCGAAAAATCCTTCGCTTTTTCTATCGTGCGCGCGCGCGCGCGCGTGGGAATACCGAAGCGTTCGCGGCGCGGCGGCGCGCGTATGAATTTTGCAATCGACGAGTCGTGCATCGTCGTCTCTCCTCTCTCCAAATTCAGTCACGTCGCCGTTAAAGAGTTAAGTGGATTCGCTCGCGCGCGAATTTCAACGGGACTCGCGCGAGTCATCGGATAATTGTCGCGATCGTCTGGAGGATCTCTCCTTCGGCCTTGCTCGGCACGCGTGAAACGTGCTAATCGCTTCAAGTGGACCTAATGCCTCGGATCGAGGCTGAGTTTTCTGTCGCTCTCTCTCTCTCTCTCTCTCTCTCTCTCTCTCTCATCCTTTATTTACCGGCCATCCTCGCGACGCGTGTACCTTTCCGCTCGGGATAACGCGCGAGGAGCGGCGTGCAGAAACTACGCACGTTCCAGTTACACTCGCCGCTCGAATCGATCTTCCCACGAGATGCCTCTCGCCGTGAGAAAGGCGGATGTCCATTCTGAATTCAGCACGGAGAACGAGAGGAGTCTACTTGTTCTTTCTGCGAGCGCTCCGCCTCCCCGCGCGGCCGTCCTTCCATCTCCGTCGCGCGCGCGCGCGGTTTTCGCACGTTTCAGGATCGCGAAAGCGCGCGCCGATACGCCGCGGCGTGTGCGTCCTCCCGCGCACTCTTCTCTCTTTGAAATTATCATCGCGCGATAGGCATCGGCAAAACTTTTACTCGAGCGTGCGCCATCGTAATGAGGCTCTCTTCCCGCAATGTTACAGTGTCGCGGAGAAAGTATCAATTAACGTATCCCCTATTATGATTTCGCACAGCTCATCAACGTCGCATGACGAAATCGATCCCGCATAGAGTGCGCAAAATATTCGATACGTTTGCAGGTCGAGCGAAGTGCAACGAGAATATTACAATTTCCATGAAGGACTCTCTAAATATCGAGGCTACACGGAGGCATATTAAATATCGAATTTCGTCCCGGTTAGCCTCAATTGATGTCTAAATATCGCGGAAATTAATATCCAATTTTCTTTCAATTAGTTAACGCAATATTGTCGCGCGTTACGAAATCATATCGCGCAGTCTGCAAGCTCGAAGAAGCGAAATATCAGCTGAAAACCACTTGGCTTATTTTTCTAATTTTACCGTCGATCAGAGACATCGAAAGGTTGAAATATTTCTCAAGCTCGAACTCGAGCTCTTTCGAATTCTCAAGCCTGACCGATGACGCGGGCCCGAAGAGAAAGAGAGCCGTTCTGCTGATGGGTCGGGCCCTGCCTCGGAGCCTTACCCGGCTCGGCCTGGATTTTTCTCGCCGCTACGACGCGCGCGTTTTCCTCGCGCCTCCTGCATTCCGTGACGCGCCTCGTTAGACTTGACACGTATTACTTTGCATTCCCGCGAGCGCGCGTCTCGGCTGAGCGTTACACCGAGGAGCCTGGTTCCTCGCGCAACGAAACACCGGCGGAACGCGGCTCGCCGGAGCGGATAAACCGGCCCGCTTCGATTTCCAACGTGTGTGGAGCGCTTTTCCAAGCCGCACGAGCCGGAACCTCGTCCGATCGAGGAGGAGCGCGCGCACACGCAGCTCTCGTGTGGTTTCTCGCGAGGACGAGATGAAGCGTGAACGCGGTTAATCGCGGCCTCGGCTAACCGTAAAACACGCGTTTCCGCGAGTGAGGGAGGGAGCGCGCGTCGGGCTTCTATCTCCCGAGGTGGGGACAGAAGCGCTCCATTTGGAACTTGATCTCTGCTTCGCAAGGTGGTCGATCCTGGCAACCGTGATACTTCTTCATCAGGCTAGCGGGAGATATCTCTGCTCGACAGTGTTACATTTTAATCCTTTGCATTCTTGCCACCAACTCGACAATTAGAAGTATAATTACGAAATTTCTCGGACTAGGAAACTTGTGGAAAAATGGATCGTCGCTTCCATTTTCCTTGCTCTCTGTCTTTAAATCCTGTTCATGCCAGCTGCGCTGGCATTCCGAGTGCAGAGGGGGTCGAAACCTCTTCTCGGACGCTCTTCTTTTACGTTACACGCAATACTTGTGTCATATTATTGGCATTGTTAACTCGCATCTTCGTGACCAAGCGAGTTGCCTCGGCAAGGGAAGCGAAATTGCGCCAAAATAGCAATTTAATGGATAGAATCTGCGCGCTCAAGAGAGCCTCGTGCTTCCCGGTCGCTCGAAAGACGAGCCAAGAGGAAACTCAGTGATCAAAGTCGCATATAGTCGGCGGATAAAACTCGCGGCGATAATAGCGGAGCATCTGTTATTTGCACAGCTTCCTGTCCCGCGACGCGATACGATGTCCTGCCCGGCGATGTCGTTCACGGCGGGACATATCGATCTCTCTCTCTCTCTCTCTGTCTGCCGGGCGTCCTAAAAGCGTCGTCGTAAACGCGCGACTGCGGCTGATAAGGACATCGGGCGAGTTTCACAGGCGTGTTCGCGAAGGACTCGCTGATAAGTCGATAACATTCACGGCGACTGTCGACGGCGCGTCAAGGCCTGACGTGTCGAGACGCTTGGCCATAATATTGGTCGTCGTAATATTCTGCTCATTAATGTCGCGCGAGCGCGCGTCATCGCGGAAGCGTTTCGCCAAGCCGCCGCATGTACGCGCGCCTCATGGGCATTCCGCGCACGCGATCCTTGACATTTCACCCGGCGACGACATGCACCCGCCGCGATCGGGGCGCGGGGGGATGCAACTCGAGCGCGTCGCAATTAGTGCCGAAAATTGCAAGAGCGCGAAGTTGGAAACAAAAACGTTGCGACACGTCGAGGAGCCGCGGTGGAGCCTCCAAGGACGACACTCTGTCGCTTTATGCAAGCGCGCAATAAAGATACGAGCCGCGAGTTTTCAGGTAATGCATAATGTTTCTCGGCATGTGTGTGTGTGTGTGTGCGTGCGCGTCGCTGAAAAGCGGCGACGGAAGTGAAGGTAGAAATCGATCAGTGGTGGTCGCTCGACTGTCAAGTTCTGTGTGCGCACGGATCGCTGGGAATATATTTATCGAAGTCGTGATAAAGAGAAATCTCTCGGAGATTGGCTGCATTTCATAGAGATTCGTTTCACGCGAATCCTAGGAAAACGCACTCGAGTTGATATCTTTCTTTCGCAAGTTATTCAATCCCGGATGCGTCGAAATCTCCGCGGAACTCATTCTAAGGGGTGTCCCATAGGATGACTCTCTTTGCTCGAGAAAATCCTGCGACGGTCTCAAAGTTCCAGAAAACGCCACGGAATTTCTTTGGAGCAGCGAAAGTATCTTTTTTTTTTTTTTTTTTTTTTTTTTTTTTTTTTTTTAATATTCCTCGATATGTCGAGACCGCTTCAGAGGGGATTATTATTTCTTAGATGTAAGAGCAATCAATTGTAATTCGCCGGCTGTTGTGAGGATCTTCAGGGAGAGGCAAACGCGATAATAAAGTAGATATTTTTTTACGTACAAATTATGTTGAGTTACTGTCAAGTGTCGACCAATTAAATTCGCTCACAATTCGGTGACGATTGACATCGGAAGAGCGGAAACATTGGAAGAATGACAAGCGTAGTCCGTCAGAGCTGTGTAGACTTTATCGATCGCGTCTTCAGGCCTCGTTCCCCCGGCCACGAAAATGCACGGCCCGTGACCGCGTTACGTCAGGAACGGGCTTTCAAATCCAGCCACAATCCTTCCACGTGATGGCGAGAGAGAAAGAGAAAGAGAAGCGGAAAGAAAAAGAGAGAGAGAGAGAGAGAGAGAGAGAGATAATCGAGCGCTGAGAGTAGACTCAGAATACATTTTCATATTCCAGAACCCACTTGGAGCCGTTGAGTAACATCGGTCCGATCGTATCGGAAACGATCGCGCTTTAACGCTCGCGGACTAACCATATCCCGGCGAAAGAAAAGCAGCGTGTGAGACGCGTGTAGCCGGCGAAGAGAACGACCGAGACTCGACAAAAAAAAAAGAAACGCAAGACCGCATGATATAACGGGCGACGCAATCGTTCGGCCGTTCCCGCGGCTGCGCCAATTGTCCGGCAAGGGTGTGCACGACGAGGGATCAAAACAGAGGCGAAATCCACGCGCTGCGGATGTGCGTGCGCGTTGCTTCATGATGCAAAAATGCACGCGACTAATGCGAACGTCGGCCGCAAACCGCGTCGCACGCACGCACGCACGCACGCACGCACGCACGCACACAAACGCGCGCGCTCGGGCATCGCGTAAGAGAGAGAAAAAGAGAGAGAGAGAGGGTGGAGGGAGGGAGGGGGGAACGGAGGCAGAGGAGAGGCAGTAAAAAGGAGAAAGGTATGATAATTACCAAGGAGTCGTCCCCATTGTCAGCGCTCATAGCCCCCCGCTCGCGCTAGAGGGACCCGGGCTCTCGCTCTCGTCCTCGTCCACGTCGTCGCCGTCTTCGTCTTCGCGGCCGCCGTCGTTCCCGTTCTCGTCGCTCCTCCTGGTCGCGCGGTGCTTCCGGCAGCAGCGCGAGCCCGCGCTCGTCATTCTGCGCGGGGCCCCGTCGGCCGGACGGGACCCCCGTGGGACTCTACCGGTGGCCGCTCCTGACACCTGTCATCTGGCATCGCGCCACGATGCCGAGGAACGCGACGACGTTTGCCCGCGCCGAGCGGTGCCGAGAGAAAGAGAGAGAGAGAGAGAGAGAGAGAGAGAGAGAGTGTGTGTGTAACTTCCGCCTCCGCGCTCTTAGCTTCTTGTATGGACCTCCCCCCGTCGCTCCTCGGCCACTCTCGGAGGGTGATACCGGACGTGGGCAGGATGAAGAGGCAGGGAAGCGTTTACAGAGGAAGAGGTTTACGACCACGGGGGAATTGTAGTCTGCTGAGGAACGGAGGGATGCAGTGCAGCGAGCTGATAACCGAGCGACCGGCCGCCTCGGAGTTCTCACGATGGGGGGGAAATATCACGGATAACGAGGGGGAGAGAGAGAGAGAGAGAGAGAGATAAGAAAAGGGGGAGCCAAGGGACGACCATAGGGCTCGTGGTTGCGTAAAAGCGGACTGCGTCGAGGTGTTCGCTTTGGGTTCCTCCTTTGGGTATCCAGCCGACGAGAGCAAGGACGGAGATACTGCAGGGAGGAAGAGGAAGTGACTAAAAGGGATGTGAGGCGATAACAATAGGAATATCGATACACGCTGTGAATAATACGGGAATCACCGCGGAGGAGGACACGCCGGCCAGCGCGCGACTGGAAGAATCTACTCGAATCTAGCGGCGGCTGTCGTCGGATCGCGCAGTGACTACAAGGATGTGAGCGTTGAGCGCGTCAGGACAGAGGACGGCTCACGACAAGCTGCGAGGGCTCCGGGATGTGCCGAGAGCTATAGGGAGATGTCGGCTACGGCGATATGCGCGCACCGAGTGAGCGAAGGGAGGAATCATAGGGATCTCTAGGGATATACGGTGTGTCGGCGTGTGTAGCAGCCGGCTGGCGTCTGTGAGGATACACACGCACACACGTACACACACACACACACACACACACACACACACACAGCGTCGTCTGGAGTAACCCTTAGGGTCTCTCGAGGGCGCCCCCTTGGACGCTTTGGACGACCGCACTTTCACGAGCGAGCACTCACGACGAAGGCCGCGGCGAGCGAGGGCACGAGAGAGACGGAGAGTAACACGGCGGCCGTGTCAGCTAGAGAGAGACAGGTAGAGGACACTGACACACGAAACGTCAACGACACCTCAGCACTCGTCGTGCTCGCCTCTCTTTCTCTCTCTCTCTCTCTCTCTCTCTCTCTCTCTCGCTCTCTCTCTCCCTCGCCCTGTTCCTTCCTCTCTGTCTCTCCGTCTCTTGCACAGCGAAACACCCGCGCGCTCGAGGATTCTCTCACTCACTTCACGTCGGCGGACCAACTTCGCGCAGCTCCAAACTTCACTCCGATACCTTCGCTCCGCGAGCGGCCGCTGTATCGCGGAGTCGCGAGGACGGACGGGCGGCGACTTCTCTGTCTTTCTCTGTGGAGCGAGCGAGTACCGTTCCTCGCGAGAGCGCTCGTTCGTCCAGCGTGGTTGGAACAGAACGGAACGGAGCGGAGCGGGGGCAGGGGAGCGACCCCCGCTCGCGAAAGGAAAGGAAAACGACGGCGGCGGCGGCGTGGTGGCCGCCGCCAGGGGACGTGCGGGGGGAGAAGCGGGGGACGAGAGCGCGTGAGCGCCGCACCGCGACGCAACGCAACTCGCAACTCGCAACTCGCAAAATCGCCAGCTCTCTCGTGCTTCTCGCGAGCCGGACCTCGCTGTGCGACTGTGTGCGCGACATAGCGGAGTGCCGCTCGACAGTTTTTCCCGTCGTGACGATCCTGGTGGGGAGACGACGACGACGACGACGACGGTGTGCCGCCATTTGCGACGGAGGTGCTCCTCCGGGCTCGCTCATGGAGAGTGCGAGGTCCCAGGGTCGGATCGAGCAGCGGTTCGTGCAGCCAGGACGAAGGATCGAGCGACGCCGAGTTTCCCGGCAAAAGGCTAGAAAGGCTGCTGAAACGGTTGCGGCTTCTCTCAAGCGACTGAAGCGGAGTTTTTGTTTCATGTTTTCAGGCGAATTGGTTTTTGAAAATTTCAGCCGGGCGACTCGTGACGTTAACCAGGCCAGCCGTGGAAGTCGCGGTCGAGAAGAAAGCGGCGTGAAATACCTCGGCGAACGAGACTCCGGGAGTCGCCGAGGTGAACAACCACGTTGCTCTTCGCTCGCGATTTCGGCTGGACTTGAAGTTCAGCGATATGTTATTAGAGCCGTGAGACTAGAATAATATATTCGATATATACGACGTTAAAGATGAGAATAAAATAATCCAGGTGCCCCTCCATCCAAGTTTTCGACGTGGAATGAACTGGTTCCGCGGAATTCAAAGAGTCGATTTTCCGCACAAGTTTCGCATGTTTCCATCCCTCGAGACGCTGTCGCGTCTTTGATCCTTGCTGTCTGTATAGCAAATGTCTTACCGGTTCATCGGTCTGCTACACATCGCAGAGCTCCGCTGCTCTCCGCCTTCCTCAAGGCTTCACCTTCGTGCGCCATGACTGACGCGCCATGAAAAGAGAGCCTTCTCGCGCCACGTTTAGCATCGCTTCGCCGCTTCTGCTCTTGGTTTCTTGAAAAGAACAGAGCGACGGTCACGCATCTCCATCTTTGGAAGCGATCTCGAAGGAGCCGCGAGCTCAAACGCGCCGTGAAATCGCGGAGCGTCACGCGATTATCGGTACACTCGATACTTTTTACCGCGTCCGCGACGACTGATCTGCTCTCTGATCTGGTTACTCGAATTTTATCCGCCTCGATCAGCCTCGGTTTTCTCGCGAGAGAATTCTATGCAGCTTCCTCCTTACACGCATATCGACTATATAATAATCTCGATCTAGGCTGAGATGAATTGAGTTGGAGGGGGGAGCGGGGGGGGGGAGGGAAAGACGGGCGTAGATCTTAACAGGATAACACTCTGTTAGAATTTAATAACTCAAATTACCTGAAAGTTAGACGAGCGTGGAAGGGCTTGAACTTGATCTAAGGACTACCTTAGATGCCTGGTAAGACGAGATGGATGTGGGAGAGGACGAGGGGGGGCATGTGTCCTTCTTTTTCTCAAGTCAAGGTTTCGCAGCAGTAGAAGACACGGCGACACGTCGTCGCGCTTTTGACGCCAAACGCGGCTGTGCGGTTTTTACCGTCGAATTCGAAACGGCTCGAGCTTGCGCGAGACTCGACTCGCCGAATATTCCGGGATCGAAATCTCTCCGACTTGTTGGGTCCCAAAGTCCCTGAGAGGTCCTTGGAAGATTCCCCGCCAGTCGACTGGACCGGATGGAAAGCGAGCAGCCGCGTTTGTGAGCTCGAAACGCGCGCCGACGGCGTAAACCAGAGAGAGAGACGACACATTCAGACGACAGACGAGACAGACTTTTTCACAACATTTAATAAAACGCTATCAACTATGTGTATGCCTCTTTTTTACTCAAATACTCTAAAAGTTACTTACATACGTGTGTAACTTATACGCTTATTTCTTCATGTCGCGCGCTCTCGCGCGCGCGGGCGCGCGGACGTGTCACATCCCTCGCATCGGACGCACCCCCGCGTTTTCCCCGAAGCGCCGCTCGGACTTTTCGCTCTTTCTCCCTTCTTGTCTCTCTCTCTCTCTCTCTCTCCCTCCCCCCCTTTCTCTCACCCATCAGCGACCTCTCCTCGTTTTTTGTCTCTGCTCGTCTTATTAGGCACCGATCATCGATGATGAACACAGCGAGGTACGAAAGCGCGATTAAGGGGTGAGAAGAAAACTCGAAAAGAAAAGTGGAGGAAAGGTGCCTCGCGGGAGTTGACACGTCCGGCTTCTCGAGTCTGTATGTATACGTGTGTGTGTGTGTGTGTGTGTGTGTGTGCGTGTGTGTGTGTGTGTGTGTGTGCGCGTGTGAATGTATCTGTGTGTGTTTTTAGCTCGTGTATATGGGGGGTATACGCGCGTGTTTTTTTTACGTGTGTATATAAATTTAATACTATCGTCGTTATCGTTTACGTTTCCTTATGTATATTACTTCAATTAATCGTGGACACAGCGATCAACGTCCCGGGATGCTAAAGAGAGGTCCGTTCTCTTGAATATCTCTACGGGGGGTGACTGGTTGGTTGGTTGGTTGGTTGGTTGGTTGGTTGGTTGAGGATGGGCGTGCAAAAGGTAGTCGGCGTGGTGGTGTGGTTGTGCCCCTCGCGAGCTCCCCTCGTTCTCCTTTGGAACCCTCTTGAATTTTTCGCGGCAAACTGCGACCGTCTCGTCGACTTCAGCGTGAATTTCCCTCTTCCTCTTTCTCCTCTTCCTCCCTCCTCCTCGGCTCGCTCTTCGTCCTCTTCGGCTTCGCTTCGAGGTTCGGTCGGAGTGCCGCCGTGTACGCCGCGCTTCCTCTCTCGAAGGAAACGTTGCTGCTCCCCTCCGCGGAGACGGGAGTTCGCGCGATTAAAATCGTCTATAATTCCGAATAGGCACCGTTAATATCAGTTACAAATACGCGTTTAACAATTGAATATCCTCGAACACCGTCGAACACGTCGGGCGCCGGTCAGCAAACACGCGAGTGCAAACACTGGGAAAGCGTGATCTCCCTCCCTCTCTCTCTCTCTCTCTCTCTGTGAATGATTCGACACATATCTTGTGTGCACTTCGAGAACAAAGTATACGCGGCGTCATTTGTCAAAATTTAGAAAGAGCGCAGTCCTCGTACGTGTGTATGTACAGCGATCCTTCGCGGGCGTGAAGGATCGGGGATCGCAAGGCATCGCTCGGGCTCGGACAACTAATCGGGGTGGAAAACGAGTGCTCCTCCGGCGCCCCGACGCGTTCGCGCAGCTCCTCCCTCGTCCGCCGCTGTGGATTCGCGTGTGAAATTCCCGCGAGAAGAAAATCGAAATTCGCGCCTCGCCGTCGATCATCTCGTGCGACAAAACACCGTTCGCAGCTCCTACACACAGTGTGACTGGCGTAAAAAAGTCCCGTAATTTGTTGTCCCTTAACCTACGAACCTGGCTGGCGGACACCGCACCCGTTTCTCTCCCTCCCGCCCGCTTGTTTTATTTTTTCTTTTGTTTCTCGTAAACGCAAGTATCACAATCGTTCACGTTTCACGCTCGTCTACGAATGTGTCATGTGTACGCGTGCGCTTTCTCCTCACGTTTTACCGTGTGCTCCCTTTTGTCTCTTTTTACTTTTACCCCTCTCCCTCGCCCCTCCACCCTCGTTTGCCTCTGCTTCCATCGGACGGCGAGCGGCGAAACGCCGCCTCGTTTCCCGTTTCGCCTCGCGTCTCTCGGAACGCCGCGAATCTCCGGATTCTCGGCCGCGAATCTCCACGCGCTCGAGAGTTCTCGGAACTTCGTTCTGGAACGCAATTTCCCCGTCGCGCGATCACGCACCCTTCGCCGAGCCGATACGCTCCGCTCTGCCCTGTTTCCGTCTGCTCTATGGCTGTTTTGCTCTGTTTTCGAAAAACCCAAACGTGAAATCAAGGAAACTCGAGCGCACAAAGTGGGATATTCGTATTCAGCAAGTTTTCGAGTAAGAAAATATCGAGTAAATCTCACGAAGCGACACAGAGATGGATCTCACGCCTTGATCTCCCGGCCGATGAGAACCATACATGTTCACATATTTAACAAAATATATGAGCGTACATATACAATAAATAATCTAAATTTCGGACGCGACGTTCCTAATAAATATAACGCAAATTATATTCCGATCGTCTCCCTCCGCGTCGAGCTTTCCAGAACGAAGAAGAACTCTCTCTCTCTCCCTCCCTTCCTCCCTCCCTCCTTCCCTCCCTTCTCTCTTCCGAAGCAGAGCGAGCAGGGTTCGTCCTTGATCGATCGATATTCTATCACCGAACGCGCGCGAGCCCCAAAATGTGGATACGGAGTTCGCCTAAAAAGACAGGCGCAACGAAAAAGACCGCCTCTCCGGTCGCTCGCGCATGCACACGCTCCTCTCGTACGCGCTTAAGGTATTAAAGAGTTAGGTATTATAAACTGCAATCTAAGCTGATCCCATGTTGTTTCTTGGTCACAACCTCGTTGAATCTCTCTCTCTCTCCCTCCCTCCCTCTCTCTCTTCCCTCTCTCCTGCTCTCCCTTGCTCACGGATCGCTCTCGTAGATTCCTGACGGAGATCGTGGCACGGGGAGAGAGCGCCGGGCTCTCCCGCCCCATGATCCCGGTCGTTTCGCTCGTCGCCGTCGCCATCGCCGTCGCCACCTGGCGCCGGCTGGACCGCCTCGCCTGGCCCGGCCCGGATTCGAATTCCCACGGCCGCCACCGCGGGCGAGAGAGCGCTCTCGAAGAAGGTCTTCTTTATCAAGTAGAGACCCTGTATGAACAATATTATTTACGGGACGCGTGGTTCGAAGACGTACAACAACGAGCACCGGTCGCTTCTCGAGCGCGGCGAGGGCGAGGAAGGTTCCTCCGGCCGGCGGTCATCAGAGCCAGCTAGGCGGTCCGGCTCGTCTGCTTTGTCCAGAACGACGTAGACGACGACGCGACACGAGTCCCCTCCATCCCGGGCGGACGCACACGTCATAGTCGTAAAATTCCCTAACGACTTCTCTCCACGAGACCCTGCTGGTTTCCCTAGGAGACCTCACCCTCCCTATCTCGAGGGACGATTGACCGATCGCGCGGGGGTGGATCGTAATAGCTCCACCAGGGTGTAGCCGAGCGCGCATCCTTGTGTCGTGCCACGAACTCTCTCTCATGCGTGGACATTTCCAATCGGGAAGCAGACTCAGCTTCCAGACGCCGTAGATGCTCTTCGGGTGCTTCGCCGGAGCGCTTGTTGCATCGACTGCGGTCGAGTCTTCACTCGAACCTTCCCGAAGGGTTCCGCACTTCCGAGTGACGAAAGGACGCGGCGCATTCACCCTGACACGCCCTACGCGTCGGCGTCGGGTGACTTCCGCTGGACCTAGGCGGACACGGTCTCCACCATGGACTTCTTGATAATCTCGCCAAAGTTCTCGTCGCAGTCCTCCGTGCTCTCAGACTGCTGTTCGCTCGCGATGGCCCCCTGATGCCCGGCCTCCATCTCGACCTTGTTGTTGGTGCCAGCGTGGTAAGTACCGTGCTGTTGCGGCTCCATCTCGCCGTAGTACGAGTACCTGCCGGACAAGAGCTCGGAGAAAGGCTCCAGCTTGCCCATCTGCTGCACCACCGCGTTCATCGGCTGCACGGAGTTGGTGAGGTTCGTGTACTGCGAGCCGGTGCTCTCGTCCTGCGCGAACGCCGTCTCGTAGGATGAGTGCTGCTGGCTCGGGTGTACCTGGCAGCCAGCCTGAAGCGCGCCGCCATCTTGGCCGCCATAGGGCCCGTAGTGCGAGAAACTTGGGCTCGTCGGCATCGATTGGAACTGCGGCTGGAATTGCACCCGCGACGTGGACGGTACACTCGCGTACGGCTGGTAGTCTTGGTACGACGACTGCTGGAAGTTCATGCCCCCGCCGCCACCACCTCCGCCACCGCTTCCTCCTCCTCCTCCTCCGCTGCTGCTGCCGCCGCCGCCGCCGCCGCCGCCGCTGCCTCCTCCTCCTCCCCCTCCTCCTCCTCCTCCTCCTCTTCCACCTCCACCTCCTCCTCCACCGCTACCACTACCAGCGTTACCGCCTCCGCCGCCGCTGCCGGCGCTACCTCCGGCGCTCTGGCTTGAGAAGCTTTGGAAGGTTTGACTGAACTCAGGGTGCAGCTTCCGCTGCGCCGATTGGCTCCCATCCACCGCGTCTTCACTCGGGTAACAGTCGTCCCTGATTGCGTACAGGTCCAGACTGTCCTCCCGTGTGCCGGGCGTCTCCGGTTGGCAACCGCTGCTCACCACGCCGGCGGCTCCTACGCCCTCATGGTTCTCGTAGTGCAGGGTGGTGAAGCCACCGCCGCCTCCGCCTCCTCCGGGCCCAGCTGGGACGCACGCGTCGCCGGCAGTGGCTTCCATCACGGAGCCTAGACTGACGTCCCGTAAGGGTCCGCCACCTCTGGCGCTGCTCTGTTGATTGTCCGCTACCTCGTGTTCGCCACCTTCCTCTTCGCGTTGCTTCTTCTCCAGCTCGAGCCGCATGAGCGTGTGGATGAAATGGGTTCGCACCCGCACCGGGTTGAACTCGATCCTGCCGGAGCTGTTGGCGCAACCGTCGCGGGTGCAGCCGCAGGGGAAGCCCACTCGGTCCACCTGCGAACACGGCGAGTCCGGTCGCGGTGAGAATCTCGAGAGTCTCGCGCGGCGGATGCTGCTTTAACGACGCGTTTCTGGACTAATGCGGAATCGACGAGGAGGCTCCACGAGGAAAATGTCGGAGTATATTTCACGCGATAACGCGTGAGAAACGGACGTGCGAACGTCATTGGTGGTCGATGGGAAATCGCAGGCAATCGGGGGACTGGAACGCGCCGACACGCAAACGCGAGAAGAATGCCCTTCTCAGTGAGAGACGTAATAATTTCCGGATAATCGCCGATTGAAGGTGAAAAATCGCGGTCTGGTTAGCCTCGGGAGTCTAACGAGCAGAGCTATCCAAGTCCCTGGCCGAAAGTCGACGGTTTCATAGGTTAGGTTATCTTAAAGAGCATCTAAAGACAAAGGACACGTCTCTACGCTTCTACGCGCTTTCTCGCATATCTAGGAACTGCAGTGAAGAAAAGTCGAGTTCTGCAGAATCGTAAAAGATAAGATTGGTGGACGTAATGCTCGATAATTCTGTATTATAATCCAAAATGCCAAGAGAGACTTCGGGAGGAGAAAGGTGTCTGTTATTCCCGACTGCTCCGCGACGTATCCAGAGTCCGTCACGTCCGATTTCGGTAACCTTAAGGCCTGCTTGCACTAACCATTACTTTGGCTTCAAGCGACACTCAAATACGCGTCCGTCTTTATTTACCTAAGGAGAAAGGTGAAAAAACGGTCGTGTCTAAGTTTGGCTTAGAAGCGAGATAATGTGCGACCGGGCCTGAGAAATTCAGCCGGCTGAGCCTCACCTGACACTTGACGTTGGCCCTGCTGCAAGGACAACTCTCAGGATCGCAGTATCCTTTGCAGCCGCAACCGCAGTGCTCCCTGCTGGCTCTGATATCCCGACACTCGTCCTTCTCCACTGCGTCTATCCTCCGTACCCCAGCGGCCCTGAGGAGGGCTCGCCGTTGCCACGTGGGCACCGGCTGCAAGAAGTAGTAGCTGTCGATGTCGAGCTCCTCGTTGTCGCTTGGCTCCTCGTCCGTGTCGTCGCTGGGGTCCTCGGAGCTCGACGCCGTCTCGGTGACGCAGTTTGCCGCGCGCTCCGAGCGCAGCTGCGCCAATCGCGCGCGGTGGATCCGCCTTTGCTCGGCCGCGTGCTCCGACAACGAGAACCTCTCGGCGTGCGTGTGCGTCGCGCTCATGCCGAGCGTGCTGCCACCCTGCGTGCAAGGACGACCGGTCGGAATTGAGTCTCGCGTGAATCCGCGACTGAGTCGCTGCAGAATGTCCTTCCGAGCGACAGGGCAGGGGAGGAGGGACGGGGTGAGTCGTCTGAAGCGAAAGAAGCGGGAAGATGCATTTTCCACCACAAGCGAGCAGCTTGAACCCGAAGAAAGGCCGTCGCCGAGATCGCCCGCCCCCGTTACCCCGCAAAGAGTCGCGACTCCCCGGGGCTGATCGCGCGGCAAGAGCGATCCACGCGACTGACTCGCTCCAGCACAGAGACTCGCGGGGGAGATGACGTGTACTCCAAGTGGTTCCAAGGATGCTGTTAATCGTTACGTTTACTCTGGGGACTCGTGTTGTGTGACCGCGGCATTATCGCGCCGGGGAGCGTTCCAGCGCGAATCAGCGTCGCGATTAATCAAAGTGTTCGCGCGATTCGAGTATCGCGCAGCCGACACGAGCACTCGCGGTGAGGGACGCGGTGAGGGAGCGACATCGCTGAGGGACGCGGCGGCGGGAGGACGGCAGGAAAGTTACACAACATATTTTTGCACTCGCTACGTACTGTGCTCTCTGTATTTTTATAAATATAAACGCGCTCGAGGCTGTTTTGCCGGAGCGCGCTGGATAAATGACAATTTCGCCAGCAATAACAATAATAATAACTAACAGCAACCACAATATTATATCATGATAACGACGAGGTAACACGGCAGCCTTTGCCGTTTGCAAAGCTCAAACGACAGAGGAAGAGGGAAAGCAGAGGGCCAGGGGAAGGAGGGGGGGGGGAGCCAAGAGCGGGGGCAGGAATAGAGGACTCACCTGAGACGGCACACACGTGAAGCCCTGCGCCCTGGGGAAGTAATAGACCGTGACCGCGTCGAACTGGATGTTGCGTTTCTTCTTCACAGGCTCGTCCGTGTTGCTCCTCTTCGGGCACGACTCGCCCTCCATGCAGTCGGTCAGCCTGCGCTTCAGGTTGCTCTTGGGCGGTGTGCGGAAGCTCGTGAGGGACGGCTGCGGCGTTCCGGCCGCTCCCGATGTCGGCACGAAGCTGTCCAGCTGGCTCACCGCTGGAAAACCGAGAGCTTCGTGTCACGAAACATCGCCGTGTCGCGCGGTATACACCGTGTGTCCCGCTCCTGCCGGCTAGACGATGGCCACGACAGGTGGGCGTTCGCGTGCGCTCGCGTTCGTGTGTGTGTGTGTGTGTGTGTGTGGCCGGCCTTCCCTCTCTCTCTCTCTCTCTCGCGCATATACGCAACCCTGGTTTCGTCTAATAAGACGAATTGTTCGGCGAATATAATTAGAGGTGGAGTGTGGTTAAGTAAGTACCACTGGTATGACTCGGGGATCGAATTGTGGGACACTCTATGTATGTGTGTGTGTGTGTGTGTGTCGTTATGGTTCTCGCGGACGTTCTCTCGCGAAAGCAACGGTGGTCTGAGCCACGCCGATAGCCGGTCGACTTCCGGAAAGTGAGAGGGCGTTCGGCCAGCTTTTTCATTTACGCGTCGTCACACTTGGACGCGAATGAGAGAGAGAGAGAGAGAGAGAGAGAGAGAGAGAGAGAGGAGGGAGAGCAGACGACTGCTTTTCGCGAATTTCGCGCTCGAAATTCTCGCCCTCGTCGACGGGACCGTCCCGAGCTGAAAGCCGAGAGGGCTCCTCGCGCGAATCGGATCTCCCTATGGGGGCGAGAGCAAAAACACGGGATGTTATTCGAGCCGGTCGATTCGAGACGCGACTGTCGCCCGCGTGAAATGTTAATTCGCGGCGCAGCCGGAGAGATGTCAAAGGTCGCGACGTAGAGATACATGGCGATCGGCGAGCCTCGCTTCGACAATCCGCCCGCCGAGCTTCAACGTCGGGCCACCCACGTCGCGTCGGCGTCCACCACTGTCGCTGTTTGCGGGACACCCGGTATATCGCGTGTTGACAATCGATGCCGAGACCTATCGAATTGTTCTCGTTTGCGCCAGCTCGTCGTCTAGCTAGGCTTCGATCAACGCGATTGCGACGTCGGCTGAGCGGCGACGAGGCAAATCCCAGTCGAGGGCTTCGAACGTTCGCGGATTTTCGTCAGGATAAGATCCTCGCGGGACCTTCCGCAAGCGGCCGCACTTGCACCTGACTTGCGGTTTCCACGAGGATGTCTTTCCGATCGCGGCCTTCTTCGCGAGGTCGCGCGCGAAACTCGCGTCGGACGGTGGGTCCAAGAACGATCTCACGTCACACGTGTGAGAATTCGAGCGGAGGGAAATCCCGCAAAAATCTACCTCGCGCTACTAGCGGGATAAGGATCGCGCCATACCGTTACCTTTCTCCTTGTCGGAGAGGATGTCGTCCGGTATCCTGTCAAGAAACGATGTTTCCGAGTCGCTCTCCGGAGCTGGTGCCGGCCCAGGGTCGCCCGGGATTTCGCTCCCCAAGCCGGAATCGCTGCCGTCCGACCTGACCTCGTCCCTAGCGCCGGTCGCCAAGGCCAAACTCTCGGCGGAGTCCTCGGTGTAGGGCTCCGGTCGCTCGGCCTCCAGTCGCGTGATGATCGGCGCCATTTCCACGCAGCAGAGCGGCGGCACTTCCTCGGCGCAGGGCAGCTGGTCGGACGGCACGTCGACGTCGCGCAGTCGGATGGTGGTCGTCATCGCCGACACCTCTGAGCTGTCGGAGCCGGTCTCCGTCTCCGTCTCGGTATCGACGCCCTCGACGACGTCCGCGGACGTCTCTTCCGTCGGCTCCTCTGGCGAACTCGGCACCATCTCCGACGAGTCCAGCTCGTTGGACACTCGGCTGTCCGAGGAGCTCGCCAGCACCACCTCTTCGTTCTCCGCGAGCTTACCTATCACCTCCACCGGTGTCGGTAGCTCCTCCTTCTCGCGCGGCTTCCTCGTGGAATCCGGCTCCTCCTGCTGAGGCTGTCTGCTGGCTTCGCCAATTCGCTCCAGTACTATCTTGCACGTCTTCATGAGTGGGTAACGCGGGCCTGGGCTGCTCTCCGTCAGCTTGCGCGTCCTCGACCTGATGGACAGACACGAGTCCGTCTGCCAAGGTTTCTTCGGACTCCTCTTGGAGTCTGCGCTCGACTTGGTCGATCTGCACTTTTGCGCGGTTTCTTCTTCCGCTTCTTCTTCTCCTTCTTTCACTTGTTCCTCTTTTCCTGCCACCTGCTCTTCCTCCTCCTCCTCCTCTTCCTCCTCCTCCTCCTCCTCCTCCTGCTCCTCCTCCTCGACAGAATTCGTTCTCCTCTTGAACCGACACGAACCCTCCTCGGCGATGTGACACCAAACGTTGTCTTTGATATTGTTTACGTCCGCTTGGTCAATATGGTTCAGCATCACGACCAAGCGTGGAAGGACAGGACTCGAAGACACTGGCTGTCTCGTCACCAGCTCGGCGCTATTCTGCGTCAAGATGGACGCGCTCGTAGCGCCGATGTCTTCGACATTCGTGTCCTGCGTCAACGACGACATGGTTGTTTCGGAACTGTCGCACTTGGACGAAACGGAGGTCGCCTCGATACCGAGTACCTGTTCCTTCCGGTCCATCTGCTCGTCGCAGTCCAGATTGTCCTGGACATCGCTGCTGGTGCATTCCGCTATCGAGGGGCTGACCCTGCCGGCCTCCTCGTCATGATCAGCATCTCGCTTCGACGGCCCAGCGACATCCTGAATCTCGGAATCGCCGGTCGTCGACGATTCGTCCACCGGAACGACGTTGCTCCTCGACGTCGCCTCGTCCCCGAAGAGACAGGATTCCGAGGTGAGCGACACCTCGCCGAGAGTTCTCTCCCGCAGGCTCACCAGCACCGGTGACAGCCTCCTCACGTCGTTCCGCAGCTGGATCGCCTCCTCCTCCGAGATCTCGACGCCGATCTTTTTGATCTCCACGCCGATCGGCAAGAAGTCGCTGTCGGCGTGTCTCTTCCTGGAGATGCTGGGTGATGCGAGGTCGCCGATCTTGGCCTGTCGATCGTCCATGCAGCGCTCGCTCGTGCTCGACGACACCTCGGCTCCAGGAGACGGAACCTGTGGCGATTCCGCGCCGTTTCTCGTCCCTTCGTCGTCCTTGTTCGCTTCCTTCCCCATCCGGAGACCCATGCCGACTCCCTGAAGTTGATTCCCTTGCGACGAGCAAGGGTAAGCACTCGATTGTCTCTCCGCGGCTTCTTCGTCAATTCGCTCGTCCAGTCTCTCGCACACCATCACCAAGTCGTCGCGCGAGTCTCGTCCGACGTGAGCAAGACGAGCGTCGGTGGCGTCCGCTGACGACGACGTCGTGGTCGTCGCCTCCGTCGTCGCCGTCGTCGTCGTAGCAGCAGCGGTTGTTGTTGTTGTTGTTGTTGCGGTCGCGTCGGCTGACAACGACGCGCTGTCCTCGTGCTCCACTGAGGTGGAATCCTCTTGGGCCTCAACGAGAGCGTCCCGGGCCGAAGGTGATTCCATCTCGGGCGTTTCTGCGATCTGCGGGCAATCAATTCAAACGGCCGGGGATTAAAAGTCGGCTATCCACGTCGTCGGTGATGACGAGAGAATATCCGATCGATCGCTTTCCAGAGAGAGAGAGAGAGAGAGAGGGAGAGAGAGAGAGAAGTCTCCTCGTCCTCGAGGACGACTATCGAGTCGTCGCTACGACGGCCTACTATAAACGCGTAAGGCAGAGTCGGCGAGGCGAGGGGCGAGATGAAAAGGTCGCCGCGCGGGATCGTCGTGAAAATGCCGAAGGTGATGAATCCTACAGAAGCGGCGATTAATAATTCCGAGTATAAAGTACAATAACTTATAATCCATACGTTATCATATATGAATATGGTAAGGCGCGCGCGCGCGCGCTATCATATTTCAATTATACACGCGCGTTGAATAACGTATGCGCGCATGAAGTGACAGTTGCAGTATAAAACTGGCGCAAATGTTGAAGCGCGGATCAACGCGCCAGGTAGTAGTATATACCCGAGATGAAAAGAAGAGAGGAGAGAGAGAGAGAGAGAGAGCGGAGGATCGCCACGTTGAATCATACAAAGTACGGCGGAATAAAGATTACCAGAACGCTCGCGTCGCGTCCTCCGCGGAAACGAGCCTCTCACCCTCCCCGCCCTCCCTCACGACTCTCTCCCTTCACGTTCTTTCTCCGTTCCGCCTCTTGCGCGGATAAATAGAATAAACGATTTCGCCGCTCGCGCGCCACCGCCACCGCCATCATCGGCGATCCTGGATTTTTCATGGCGTTCTCCCATTTCGTCGAAAATATCATAAGCAAGCCGGAGGCAGAATGGAGAAATCAATAATCCGCGCACTGATATCGCGCACCCAGAAGAGAACGAGCGAACGAACGAGAAAGAGAGAGAGAGAGAGAGAGAGAGAGAGAGAGGTGGAGCGAGGGAGGAAGAGAAAGAGAGCGCGAGCGAGACGGAGATATAACACCTCGGCGCGAGGAGGAAAATCAATTTCCCAAAACCTGGCGATCTCTCGCGCGCGTCCGCCGCCAAAACCCTCCTCAACGATACGTTTTCCCTTATCGCCCGTCGAGTACGCGATATCACAAGGGAGCCTACACACATAATCTTGGCCGGAGATTATTGATTCAAAGCCGACTGTGTGCGGAGGAGAACGCGGGGGAGGATGGTCGACGAAGGGGGGTACCGGCGTTTGCCTCAGGTTACACCGTGTTCGAGCGAATCCTGGAGGAGGATGGAGGGGGGCCAGTGTCCCCTCCCCCCAAAAGGGGGACTCGCTGACTTCGCGACGGAGGAGCGAGCAGGAATTTTACCTTGATGCCGCGCGATCCTTCCTCCGTCATCAATCCACCAGCGCCTCGACCTCGGCAGCGACGACGACGACGACGACGACGACGACGACGACGACGACGACGACGACGACCTCGCGATTCTCGAGGGCCCGACCTCGAGTGGTAGCAGTAGCCCCCCCACGTGGGTCCGGGGTCTTAAGTCGTCTCACAGCTCCGGCCGCCGTCATCTCGCTCGCGCGGGGGGCTCGTCGCGGGGCAACGCGCGCGGCAGAACGGTCTCATCGGAGGACCGAGCGCGTCCTCGAGCGAGGACGACGACGACGACGATGACAGCGACGACATTCAACGCGAACGAGTCGCGTCGGGAACGTCCAACCGATGACTGCGAGTGCAGCAGAGTCTACCGGCTCGCCGGCTCTCTCATGGAAGGCGCACAACCGGGTTGAATCGACAGGTTTTGACGCGAGCGTCGAGGTGAGAGAGAGAGAGAGAGGGAGAGAGAGAGAGAGACTCGGCGAGAGGGTTGCGACTTGACGGAGAAGATGATGAGAGAAAGTGAGCCCGGCAAAGTATAGAGAGACAACACGAGGCAACACGAAACAACGTACGAGGAAGACGAGGATCGGGTCGCCGACGGAGGTCAGAGGGGAAGGTCGGTGACGGTGACGAAGTCGAAGAGTGCGCGTCGTGGATCGTGAAGAGAGAGAGAGAGAGAGAGAGTGAGAAAGACTGGTGTGCGACGTGAGAAGAGGACCACTAAGAGCGTGGTTCGCGTTCAACAGCTCGGAGCAGAGTGAGCAGAATGAGCCGAGCGACTGGAGGCGGTGGAGGCGGTGGAGGCGGCGGTGGCGGCGGCGTCGGCGTCGATGAGGCCGGCGACGCCGACGCCAACGTCGACGTCGACGTCGCTCGGATCCGCTCGGCGTGACTCGACTCGGCTCGCCACCGCCGGAAAATACACGCGCGTGCGTTAGTGAATGCGTAATAGAGTGCTGCGGCGCAAACGCAACGCAGCGGTTCTCAAAGCCCAGCCGGCACATCGGATTAGTCAGCAGTGCCGTCAGAGAGCTCTTTTCCGTTCGGCTTTACGGTGTTTTCAATTTCGCCGTCGAGGATTGCCGGCCTCGCTGAAACCTGCACTCTCCCTCTCTCTTTCTCTCTCTCTCTCTCTCTCTCCCTCCCTCCCTCCCTCTCTCTCTCTCTCCGCTTCCTCGTCGCCGTATTCCGCGAGCGCGCATCGTGTCGCTAAATATGGCCGCGTCTCTGAGTTTCGCGAGCTGAAATAACATTGTAGGCAACATTGTAGCCCGAAGGGGATAAATAAAGCTGGAAATTTGAACGTTTGAGCGCGAGCGCGCGCTGTCAGTGCCGGGCGTCCCTTTGTATCGATAACGCGCGCTTTCAGCGCGCGATATCAAGCGACGAGAATCGGCGCAGGGGCCGAATTTCGTCGGAAAAGGCCACCGTGCGCTGGCGGAGGAACAAAGACTCTCGGACGTTCTCGCTGGAATCATAATCACTTTCGGCGCGAGCCGCATCTTTTCTCCCTTCTTTCGACAAGGAATAGGGTGCTGCAAACGGCCGAGCGGATCGATTTGCTGCTAAAGTTTCCAACGATTCGGAAATGCCCCGGTTGAAAATGCCGGTTAATTGTAGTTAAGCGGAGATCTTGATAATTCCGAATTTGAATCCTCACGACTTCGGCATCGGCCAGATTTCAGCAGAAAATTCTGTCACTCGACCAAACATCTTCCCCCGCTGAGGTGGTGAGCAACAACATACATGGAAATTATTCATCAGTAGCGTCGCAGTAGCGAGCGCGCTTACTTACTCCGCAGATGGTGCCTCGTGCCTACAATTTTCCCGCTGTGCGATTATGCCTGGCAATATTAGAGTCTACTTTTCCGGAGTACGAGCCCGACAATCAGAGGACAAGTGGTACAATCGCCGCGACTGGGCGGCCGAAGAGACGGCGACGAGCGGAAGTTGCAGCGCGCGTCGCGCGTTCTCTCTGCTGTTCCATTGAATATTAAATCGGCCGACACCTATCCCGATCGCGGTCCCGACCGCGCGTCGTGCGAATTGGTGGTTCCGCAACGACGATCCGTTCATTCGCCGTGGTCTAATTACGCCACTGACGCACGCGGCGCGCACGTCCACGAGGAACACAAAGTGCAGGAGAAGAAGGGGGAGGAGAAGGAAAGTTTACTCGCGAAGAAGCATCGTAACGTATTACCCGTGCACAATTTACGATCCGCTAATTGCGGAGAGAGACAGAGAGAGAGAGAGAGAGAGAGAGAGAGAGAGAGAGAGAGAGAGAGAGAGAGAGAGAGAGAGAGAGCGCCTGATATCGCCCGAGAACGAGCCAACGGTTGACCAGTCAGCGAGCGCAATTTACGACGGCACGAGTAATTCGGCCATGTTGGAAACGGGTAAAACGATTATTGGGGCTAGCTTGGGCACGAATCGGGCGCTGGGCGAATGAATAACCCGAAGATGAATGCGATACGCACACGCGTACGAATGATAAATCGCCGAGTGAGAGCGGCTTCGATCGAATCGCGCCGCGGCGGATTCCGCGAGATCGTCGCCTTCTCGCCGAACGCTCGCGAGAAGAATATTTCTCGCTCGCGGATATTTCTTCGCCAGCGTTCCCGCATTTCGCGGGCTTGCTTCATCCCCCTGGAAGACTCCGGCGGCCAGGGGCGTCGCGACCGCCAGGCGACGGGGACCCCGAGGCGAAGCGGGACGTGCGACGCGATAACGACAGCATCAGCGATCAGAAGCGCGAAAACAACTGACGTGTTGAGCTGTTGCTACTTTCGCTGCGGGAAACGCTCATCAGCCCGCCGAACACGAAGACCCGACAGCCCCGAGGAGGGCGCGAAGCGGGACGAGAAAATCGGCCGCCACGCTCGCTTCGGGGTGCGCGTGCGCGCGCGATCGCCGTTCTTTCGAACGGGAATACTAAGTGGGAAAGGGTATTTATAGACTCGTTTGTCGCGCGCAAGGAGAGACATTCCTCGCGCCGCGGCGGACAATTGTGACGGAAAATCGACCTGGAATCGACCCGGACGCGGCAGAGCTCGCGGCTCGCTTTCGGCCGGCGCGCGGCGGACGTCACTCCCGACGCGAGTCTGTCGTTACTTGGAGGATACTTCTGGATACCAAGTTCGGCGGGAGAGATAGCGCGGCCGGTGCCGGAATTGGCGTGGTTATTGTCGCACGAGTGGCGCGTTGCCTCTCTCTCTCTCTTCTTCGGTCTCACCGTTTCCCTCGCAGTCCGTCTTTCTCTCTTCCTCGCTCTAATCTATATTTTTTCCTTTCCGTCCATCGCACAATCGCACACACGCGCACGCACGACACATGTTCTCTCTCTCTCTCTCTCTTTCTCTCTCACACACACACACACACAGGTGCGCGCACGCATACACTCGCACACATTTCAGCAGTTCTCTCACCGACGGTTCAACGAACGAGAGAGCGCAGCGCTTGCGCGGCGAGCGCCGTAATTGTCGCTACGCAGCGAAACTAGAAGGCGAGCGGAGTCTTCTCTTGGAATTTTCGCCAGCCGATGATAGCTAGGTGCTCCGAGAGAGACGACCGTACGGTCGTCCCCGGTACACCCCGCCGCTGCGGCGACGGGGAGAAATCTCGACGACGAGCGTGTCTCGGAGGATTCTCTCTCTCTCTCTCTCTCTCTTTTTCTCTCCCACGACGAGAGCACAAAATTATTGATCGGCCTTCGCCCGGGTATTGATCCGCCATTAGCGCGAAGTTATTTCGCGGCGCGTTTAGTGCTAAATGCGACCCTACCCCCTCCCCTGTCCCTCGCCTATTTTCCGAGCTTCCTTGTTAGACGCGAAGCGATTCGGTTCGATCGACGATCGAAAAATCGTACGACGCGAGACCCACGAAGGAAGCTTCGAGTCGCGCCAAGCAACCTCGCGCGAGGGAACACAAACGCGCGGGTGTCCTGAAAATTTGAGCGCTCGCACGGGGCGAAGGCGGACGCGCCGACGGAGAGGATTCCCGCGCGTACGCGATTATTGATCGGCGTGAGCGCGAGTATTGATCCGCCGTTAGCGTCGGCAAAGTTATTTCGCGCGGCGCGCGTTTAACGCTAAATGCGCGACTCCCCGTTTCCGAGTTCTGTTATTAGACATGACAGATGCGCTCAATTTGAATACAAGGTGACAAGAATCAGACGGCAGCTGCGGAATCGGCGGAGCGGGCGGAAGGGTCTTCTCTTGTGCGTCCTGCCGGAATTTCAACAGCTGAAGGCAGAACCTTGAAACCCCCCAAGTTGCTTTCGCTATTCGTCTTTTGCGCGGGGGAATGGAAGGCACGACGACGGTCCTTTAAGTCGCGGTTAAATGGCGAACGGTGAAATGTTTTGCTTGTCTCGAGTAATTCGAGGGAGTTTATACACTCGTTGGTCTGTCGCCGGCTCATCAGGAGCCATCGCCGTTTGCTCAACATGCATGCTGAATTCCAGTGAGTTTACTACTTTATTCCAGGATGTGAAGTTAAACGAAAAATTCGGTGCGCTTATATAAAGTTTATAACATTCTTGGGAAGAGTAAATTCTTCTTCCGAGCACTTGAGATAATGAGCTCTCTTGAAATTAGTCATGGTATTTCTCCCTCTTTCTCTCTCCCTCTTTTTCTTTCTATGGATGTGGTGTGTGTGTGTGTATGTATAAGAGAGACAGAGAGAGACAGAGAGAGAGAGAGAGAGAGAGAGAGAGGGAGCTCGTATTATGTTTCGTAGCGTTATTGACCGGCGCTCGTCCGAGTATTGATCCGTCGTTACCGTCGCGAAATTATCGCACGCGGCGGGACGTTTGGGCTCAAACGCGTCCGCCTAATTAGCAGCTGCCTCGGTCCGGCCGCAGTCATCTAACGCGAATGACGCGTTCGACGTAAGGAGCAGCAGGAGTCGGCAGCTGCGAACAGGGCCAGAATCAGCCGATAGACGGAGCAAGCCCGCGTAACAAATTCAATAAAGGCAGCAACGTTGTTGCAGCGGCGGAGCCGAAACTTTCGCGCAGTCATTGATCGCATGTATCAACGCTTTTATGAGATCGCTTTAATGAGACGAAGCCGCTCGTGTCCACTCAAATATACGCGACCACTAATTTCCTCGGTATTTAATCGCGAGCAGTTTAGCCAGCCCCGAAGGAGGTCTCTCCTCCGGGTCTCCCCGAATTTCCGAATCTCGCGTTTAGGATGGAGCGAGAGGACGACGGCAAGAGAGAGAGAGAGAGGGACGGGGGGGGGCGATCGGCCGATGCTTAATCTAATTGAATCGATACGACGGAACACACACAGTCGTCGCGGGGCGGTACGGGCGACATGCACCCGGTGATCGCAATTCAGCTGTCCGCGCGTCTGTT